GGATTGTGGTTTGAAGCCAGCCCTGGCAAATAGTTCACAAGACCCTATCTCAAAAATACCCAGCACAAAAAAGGGCTGGTGGAGTGGCTCAAGTGGTAGAGTACCTGCCTAGCAGGTGTAAGGCCCCAAGTTCAAACCTCAGTACTACCAAAAAAAAAAGAAAAAAAAAAAAAGACAAAGAGGTTAATAGGCAATTAAATACCGTTCAGATTTTTGGTTTTTGGTTTTGATGGTACTGGAGTTTGAACTCAGGGTCTTGCACTTGCTAGGCAGGTGCTCTGCCACTTGAGCCACACCCCCATCTGCAGGCCTTTGTGTTTTACCAGTTTAAGGCTTATTTTAAGTGTTACTTTTATTTTCTAGGGATAGTTCGATCTCACTGCTAATGCATGGCCCTTAAGAGGTCTATATTGAATGACCTGAGTGATCAGTGAGGAATCTCCTTTGTATTTCATCAAGTGCTTCCCCAAACCTTTGTGAGTCTTGGGACAGTTTAGGTTATAGTTTCTCAGTTGCTTTTTGCCTGACTCATGCAGCTTCACTCTGCATCTGTGCATTCTTAGTCTTCAGCAAAGACCTGGAGCGCCTGTGTATCTGTGTGCACACGCCCTGAGGATTGAACCCAAGGCTTCAGGTTTACTAAGCTCACACTTTACCACTGAGCTGCATCCTCAGCCACTTCAGTTTCCCTGAAGTCTGTGGTCTCTCTCCTCTGCAACAAGTGAGATTTCTGTGCTATGTGGGACCCCGCTTCGTGCTCTAAAGATGATGAATAACACTCACTTCTTTTCTCTCCCTTTCTTGGGAACTGTTGTTATCCAGTGCCTGAAACAGTTTACAACAATAGCAATCCCTGCTATTCTATGATAACTGGAAGCAGAACTAATATCTATATTAATACCAGCAAAATAAGACAAAAAGCATGGTTAAGGAATAACTTGATTCACTTTATAAAAGTAAATTATTGACTCACAGCAAGATAAAATAATTCTAAATGTTTATGCCCCTAATGAAGCATGTTAAAGTATATAAAGTAAAATAAATGTACAGAGTAAAATAGACATATTCATATTGATAAGTCAAAAAAATCAGTAAAACAGAAGAGTTGAGCAGTGTGATAAACAACTTCATTTAACAGACATTGATATACAAAATGCCATGCACAATAATGGAAAAATACAGATTCTCCTCATGCACATGTTGAATACGTAATTAAGAGGAAAAAAGCAAATCTCAAAACATATAAAACACTTCCTAGGACTCTATTATAATATTATTAGATGTAAGTAGCAAACATTACTAATTTAAAAAACATGATTAAATAAAATCCATAGAAATTAGATATTCAGAACTGAATTATAATGATTTTAATTTGAAGGAACTTTTAAGTAAGATATTATAGAAGTAGTCTAGGGCCGGATGTAGTAGCTCATGTCTGTAATCCTAGTTACTTAGGAGGCTAAAATCAGGAGGATCTCAGTTTGAGGCCAGCCCAGGCAAACAGTTCATGATACCCCTTCTCCAAAATAACCAGCGCAAAATGGACTGGAGGTGTGGCTCAAATGGTACAGAGCCTGTTTTCCAAACATGAAGCTGAGTTCAAACCCCAGTTCCACACAAAAAAAAAAAGAAAACCCTAGTAAACTGTTCTTCATGATGTGTTAGAAAATTCCTTAAAATTAGTAACATAACAAAGATACCCACTATAACAACTTATTTTTTTGCATTGTGCTGGAGATCCAGCTAGTGCAGTAAGACAAAATAGAGTCTTGACTTCCTGGTCTGGGGTGTAGCTCAGTGGCAGAATGCTTACTTAATATGGACAAATCCCTGGGTTCAAGCCCCCAAAACAGAAGGAAAAAAAAAAAAACTTGTAAGTATGAGGATAAGAAAGAAAAGAAACCTGTCATTTGCAGATAATATAATTGAATACATAAAAATTAACCTAGGGGCATGACTCAAGTCGTAGCAATTGCCTAGTAATCTCAAGACCCTGAGCTCAAACTCCAGTACCACCAAAAAAATGTTTAAAATAGGAAGGGCTTATGGAGTGGTTCAAGTGGTAGAGCTCCTACCTTGCAAACGTGAGGCCCTTGAGGTCAAACCCCAGCACTGGAAATAAATAAGAAAAGCCTAATGACATATTTTTGCAGTTGATAAGAATTTAGCAAGGAGCCTGGACATAAGGAGCAATCTCCTTCCCACACCGTTAAAAAGTACCTACAAATAAATTTAAATGTTGGAGATCTTTATTGAGAAATTTCTAAATTTTTATTGAATGGCATTAAAAGAAAATCTAAAAAATATTTTATAGATAGTACAATTCAATATTGGACAAGGATAATTCAAATTAAAATACAAAGAGGATACTTTTCTTGTGTGTGAGCATTTAGTAAGCTGATTGCATATGGCCCAGAAAATCATATACATCATGGTTTAACTTCGTTTTGTTTTTTGCTATACTGGAGATTGAACCCAGAGCTTTACTCATGGTAGGAAAATGCTCTACCACTTAGCTACGTCCCCAGCCCTTGTTTTGGTAAATTTTATTTTTGAGACAGGGTCTCTTTAAGTTGGCCAGGCTGACCTTGAACTCACTAACCTCCTGCCTCTGCCTCCAGAGTAGCTGGGATTATAGGCCTGAAGACCTCTATATGTCCCTATGACTACTTAAGAGGTTTTAGTTAGAAAATGAAGATCAAGATGTTATTTGCCATTATCACTGTGTTAACATTTGTACTGATGCTATAAAAGCAGTGGTGGGTAGAACTGCTGATGCCTTAACACAAATCAGGCCAGTGCCATCAAACTATGTGTCACACCTGTAATCCTAGCTACTCAGAAAGCAGAGATCAGGAGGATTGCAGTTAGAAGCCAGCCCCAGGCAAATAGTTCCAAGAAACTCTGTCTTGAAAAAAAAAAACAAAAAAACAAAAAAAAACATCATATAGAAGGGCTGGCAGAGGGGCTCAAGCAGTAAGAGCAATTGGTTTAAACTCAGGGCCTCACACTTGCTAGGCAGGCACTCTACTACTTGAGCTACTTTACCAGTCCTTGAGCTACAATACCAGTGTGTTGGGTATTTTTGAGATAGGGTCTTGCTTTTTTGCCCAGGTTGGCCTTGAACTGATCCTCCTAATCTCTGCCTCTTGAGTAATTACAGGCTGACCCACCCATGCCTATTTTTTTTTTTTTTTTTTTTGGTACTGGGGTTTGAAATCAGGGCCTACACCTTGAGCCACTCTACCAGCCCTTTATTGTGATGGGTTTCCTTGATTTAGGGTCTCTCAACCCTATTTTCCAGGCTGGCTTTGAACCACAGTTTTCGTATCTCTGCCTCCTAGGTAGCTAGGATTATAGGTGTGATTCACCAGCTCCTGGCCTCTGTACACTTGATTAACACTATTTTTTCTTGAAAGCATGACCAACAGCTGGGCATACCTGTAATCCCAGCTACTTTGGGAGGCAGAGACAGGAGGATCTCGAGTTCAAGGTCCCTAGGGCAAAATTAGCAATACCCTGTCTCAAAAACAAAGTAAAAGGAAAAGGGCAGGAGACATAGCTGAAGTGGTAGAGTGCTTTCCTTGCATTTACAAGACCTTGAGTTCAGTATTCAGTAATACACACATAGACACACACACAAAATCAGTGATGTACAAACTAATTATTCAGACTTAAGTATTAGGCAAACATTTTCTTGAAATGCATGAAATGAATCAGTATTTGTCAATAATAAAATTTTAGCTTTCAAGCAAAAACTAGAATTACCAAAAATTTGTGTCTACTACTGAGTCCTCAATAGCTTCCCCGATATGTTTGTAATAGGAAAAAACTTGAAGGGAAAGGACTAACAGAAAAATAGACAAATTACAATGTAGTTATACAGTGAAATAGTATAGGAGAAATGAAGAAAATATAGCTACATGCAAAAACATGAGTGAACCTTAGAAACTCAGCAAGTGGAGGAAAAAAAATTTTCATAAGACTAAACACAGTATAGTACACTATTTAGGGGTATGCATACGTGATTAATGGCAAAGAGAAAAGCAAAGATGAAGACAGTTCATCTTTTGGAGGATGAGGACACGTAAAATGGGAAGAAGCCAGACGCTGGTAACTCATACCTATAACCCTAGCTTCTCAAGAGGCAGAGATCAGGAAGATCGTGGTTCAAAGCCAGCCCAGGCAAATAGTTTGAAAGATTCTTTTCTCAAAAATACAAACAACAACAACAACAAAAAAATACAAAACAGGGATGGTAAAGTGGCTCAAGACCCTGAGTTCAAACCCGAATACTGCAAAATAAATAAATAAACAAAATAATGGGAAGAGTCTACACCTAGATTTAGGTATATTGATGATGTTCAAGTTCTTAGATTTGGTGATAGGGTTACAGATGTGTGTTGTATTATTTTGCTTGGTAATATCTGAGTTTATTCGATGAGTCACATACTGTTATCTCTCTTGTGGGGTTGATAATAAATTGTGAGCACTTACCCTAGCATTTGTTTAGGAGATACTTTACACATATTAACTTATTTAACCCTTATACTGATTGAGCATTGAAATCCCAAGCGTTTCTGGTCCCAAGCATTTTGGATAAGGAATACTCAACCTGTAACAATGCTATAAAGTAGGAACTATTATAAGCCTGTTTAAAAGTAATCCTGAAGCATAGAAATTAAAGGAACTTTGTTCAAGGTTGCTCACCTAGCAAGTAGAAAAGCCAGAATTTGAACCCAGACAATCTTTCTCCAGGACCTACACCTTTAACTAATATGCCTATACCAATTGCTATACCACCTATGTAACAAGCTCATTATTATTAAAGGAGACTATGTATATGCTCACATATATTGGGGTGAAAGTAGCATAGGAGGGATTACTCATTGAGAAGCTGTGGAGTAGGGAAGGACGGGGCATGAGTATAAGAGTACAGTGAAAAGGAAATGCTACCCTCTTGAGAGTCTTTGACAGTGTATTTCTGTCTTCCCTTTTAGAGCCCATGGCAAGCCCAGGGAAGGACAATTACCGAATGAAGAGCTATAAGAACAATGCTCTAAACCCTGAGGAAATGAGACGAAGAAGAGAGGAAGAGGGCATTCAACTCCGGAAACAGAAACGGGAGCAACAAGTGAGTTAACCAGCGTATTCTTAAACACACTCATCAGGGAAATGATCTAGCCTCAATGGTTGGCCTTCACTTGCACACTTACCTTCCCCTCAGCTTAGCTATTTAGTGGGCCAATTATCCAGTTTCCTTTTGTAAAGAAATGTTGGGAGCTTTGAGAAAGGAAGAACCAGTCCTTTATCCCCTTTCTGTGAGACGAACACAGACATCATTTTTGTTTTTAATGTAGCCTCCTAGTTCCAGTTCCTTGTGCCTCTTGTCTTCACACTGCAGTGTTAGGCCTGGCCTTTAGGTGTAACTCCAAGCCTGGTCCTTAAGAGACTTATCTGGGCTGCCTTTTGTTTTCTCAAGTCTGTTCTTTTAAGTACCCCTAGTATTGAGCCTGTATTGATCCTATACTCACACCCCACTACCAGATTGGTGCCTTGCGCAGCTCTAGATTCAGTCACCTAACCTGCTTTTTTTTTTTTGGTAGTGCTGGAATTTGAACTCAGGGCCTACACTTTGAGCCACTCCACCAGCCCTTTTTTGTGAAGGGCTTTTTCGAGATAGGGTCTCACCAACTATTTGCCTGTGCTGGCTTAGAACTATGATCCTCCTGATCTCTGCCTCCTGAGTAACTAGGATTGTAAGCATGAGCCACCGGCACCCAGCCACCTAACCTGGTTTTGCCCACTTTCTTGCTATACCATTATTCCTTTCCTTCAAAGTCTTTCATGCACATCATCTTTTATGAAAAAGGCAGAGAAATTCCTAAAAGGTTTGTACGTGTGTTTATAAAAATGCTCTCTTTAAAAAATGTGAACAGTGGACTGGCAGAGGAGTACCTAAAGTGGTAGAACACCTGCCTAGCAATCGTGAGACCCTGAGTTCAAACCCCAACCAAAAAAAAAAAGTGAACAATTAGATGTAACATAGAAAGTAAATGTGGTATGTTTCCATTTAAAACTTGGCCTCATTTTCTTAATTACTGTAGCATTTCCTTGTCATTAATGCATTGCATTGGGTTATTCTTGATTTTCTTTGGTTCAGTCAGTAGTCTACTACTGTCTCCTAACTTTACTTTCAGCTTTTTAAACGGAGAAATGTGGAGCTGATTAATGAAGAAGCGGCCATGTTTGATAGTCTGCTGATGGACTCTTATGTGAGCTCTACAACTGGGGTAAGGCTCATGTGTCTGAGGCAGGTCTGTAACATAACTGCTTCTATAAAACAGAAATTAGATGGTTTGTGTCATCTAGTAGCTTCGCCAATAATACTGAGCTTTTTCTTTTATGGGCCCTTTTGTAGACAGTCAGCTTAAAGAGTTAACCAGGGTTCATCTCTGGCAATACCTAAAGAAACATCTAAGGGAAGTCGTCAGTTGCTTTAGAGAGTAGGAATCCCTTTCATATGTTTGAACTTGAAGCAGCCATAGATAAACAAACCTCTTCTCCTAAGCCTGTCTTTTATGCTATTTATTCTCTTATCCCACTGTCTTAGAAAGCAGCGTACCAAGCAGAATTAGGTGCTCACATCTGACTCTAGTGCTGTTTGTAAATTCCTAAACCTGTTTTATATTCTAGGAGAGTGTGATCACAAGAGAGATGGTGGAGATGCTCTTTTCTGATGATTCTGACTTGCAGTTAGCAACCACACAGAAATTCCGGAAACTGCTCTCCAAAGGTATAAAGACTGGTTTTTGTTAGGGGCCTTTTTAGTGACCTCATCAACTACTTTTCCTCTTGCTCATTCTGCGCTAGCCCTACTGTCCTTGGTGCTCCTTGACTAAACCAGGCACCTTCCCACTTTTGCACTTGATATTCTCTCTGCCTAATGTCCTCCACTCCCAGATATCTATGCAGCAGCTCCCTCACTTCTACCTTACTAAGTCTGCCTTGAACCCTATCTAAAATCAAATGCTGTCTCCCATCCTGAGCAGTATTTAGTTTCCTTACCTTTCCCATACTCTTTTTTTTTTTTCTTCCTACATTATCCAGTCATTCTTCAAAATCCACAGGGAATTGTTTTCCTCCCTTAATATAGAATAGCATACTATTTGTACATAACCTATAAACATCCTCCTGAATACTGTAGATTTATCTCCAGAATACTTAATGCGGTGTAAGTGCTATTATACTGTATTGTTTAGGAAATATGGATAAGAAAAAAGGTGGTACAGATAATTTTTTTTTCTTTTGTGCTTGTTTTGTTTCTGAGACACTCTTACTTTATAGTCCAGGCTGGCCTAGAACTTGCTTTTTAAAGCACATGCCGGCCTCAAATTTGGGATACTTCTGCCTGAGCCTCTCAAGTGCCAGAATTACAGTCATGCATAGAGCCCAGCTGTGAATATTGTTAATGGGCAGTTGGCTGAATGCACAGGTACAGAACTCATGGATACAGAGAGCAGACTATACTTACTACTTTATAACTATAGAATAGCTCTCCCCACTAGAATGTAAGTTCTTTGAGGGCAGGGACTTCGGGTTTGGTTAGTACTATATGCTCAGCACCTAGACCTGTGTGGCATATAGTAGTGCTCCAGAGACTAGCATATAATATGAAAAATACCTCTTGCCTCAGTTATATTAAGCTTTATTCCCAGGAAAAGACCACTGGTCTGTCTTAGAAGGGAAATATGTAGACTAAGGTTGCTCATTCCTTAGGCTTTCCTCTCTCTCTTACCATTTTGTGCTTTCATTCAGTAATCCAAAAATGAGCATACCTAAATTAGGATTTGCTTTACACTTTAGTATGTGATACACATTATACAATTCAGAGATATTGCAGGTATTATTAAAACCGTCTTACCAGATAGGGCATTTGGGAATGTTTCTAACAGTGCTCAGAAGTATGTAGGTTTGCGAACTAATTCCAGTAAATGAATCAACCAAAGCCTCTCCTTTTCATCTCTTTTTTTCTCTCCCTCTTCCAGAACCAAGTCCTCCAATAGATGAAGTTATCAATACCCCAGGAGTAGTTGATCGGTTTGTAGAGTTTCTGAAGAGGAATGAGAATTGTACATTACAGGTAAAAACTACAGAGATATGGTGACCAGATAAAGCTTTTCATCTAAGAAATTATAGTAGGATATTTCTCCAGATACATTTCTCAGGAAATAGACAAGTAATAAGAGGACATCTAAGGGAAGTTGTCTGTTGCCTCAAGATCTTGGCTTCAAAGAAGAAAGGCAAAATCTCTTCCTTAAAATAACCTCAATAACTATGTGAAATGATGCATTTGTTAATAGCTAGATTTAACCATTCCACAATGTATATATACTTCAGGGCATCATGTTGTACATGATGAAAACATGCAGTGTTATCTGTCAGTTTAAAAAAGAATTTTTTTTACTCTCAAAGCAAAGATACCAGAATATGACAGACTCACCATTTCATTAATCAGAGATTCGAGACCACTTCTAACTATCTGTGTGACCTGAGGCAAATCATTTATCCTGTCTGGCTCTCTCCTCCAGACATGGATAATGAATAAATCCATTGGCACTTGCTAGAAACTCAGCTGAAAGGGACCTTGAAGAGAGTCTTCTCATTCTTATACTCATTTCAGAAATGAAGAAGGTGAAGCTCAGGAAATGAAACAGTTACCCATGGGTGCTATAGTAGTGCAGAACTAGACCTGGACCATCAAAGCCCAGTTCCATGTTCCCATTATATCATATCACTGTTCTTCCTACCACTTGAAGGGGGAAGGGGAGGAGGCTCATGTTTGGTTTTGTTTTTATTTGGCAAGAAGCTTATTGCTTTGAGCCGGCTGCTTAGTCTGGAATGACATTTCAATTGTGACTTAATCTTACTTTCAGTTTGAAGCTGCTTGGGCTCTAACAAACATTGCCTCGGGAACCTCTCAACAGACCAAAATTGTCATTGAAGCAGGGGCTGTCCCAATTTTTATAGAGCTGCTTAACTCAGACTTTGAGGATGTACAGGAACAGGTAATGCTCAGATTTAGTTCATTCTTGATGTTACTGATGGTATAAGATGGTGCTGATGGTATAATAAAAAATATATTTGGTTTTCTCCCAGTTCTTGGCACAGCGCTCTTGGAATTTTCTGAGTATTGAGTGCCTTCTATTATTTATAGAGCCCTTTTATTACTTGAGTCTATATAATGAGGCGACTCAGGGGAACCTCTAGATAACCCTCAGATGGATTTGGTTTCCAGAAAGACCAAGCACAGGATTAGAGTATGAGAACTCTGAGCCTCACCTCCCACACATGTCTCCAGGAAGTTGGGGGAGGGCTACATCCCTGTGCTGGAAATGTGGCAGAAACCATGGAAGCTCTGTACTACAACTTCTCCTTACTGCATACCTTGCCCTGTGCATCTCTTTCATTTGGCAGTTCCTGAGTTGTATCCTTGATAATAAACTGGGTAAGCATAAGTAAAGTGTTTCTTGAGTTATCTGAGTCATTCCAGTGAGTTACCAAAGCTTGGAAAGATTTGTAGTAATACCAAAATTTATAGCTGGTCAGAGTACAAATGACCCCTGGGATTTGCAGCTAGTGTCTGAAGTGGGGGAAGTCTTGTGGGACTGAGCCATGCATCTGTTCTTACTTCAGGAGCTAGTGTCAGAATTGAATTGTTGGACATACAGTTGGTGTCCATAAATTGTTAGTGTGGGAAGAATTCCATATATTTGATGTCAGAAGTGGTGTTAAAAAATAGACACCACACAGTACTCATTTCTCAGTAGTCACCTTTATCTTGTGGATATAAAGGTATAAACTTCCATTTCTCCCACTGGATTCTTTCTAGTAGGATAGAAATGGAGAGTGGTAGTGGGATCTTTTCTCCTTTACCTACATACAGAGCTGATCCAAGGTGGCTACAGGAATGAAACTTTTTCTTCCCTTTATCCTTTTCCAGGTATGGGCATGACAGTCTTGATTTGACTTCTGCTGTAGTATAGATGGCAGCTTGTCTTCCCTCACTGAACCAGGACCTCCTTGGGGAAAAAAAATCCTTATAGAGCAAATGCTCAATGGGATTTCAACAGGGAGGTTACCTGAACTTATTTAATATCTCCAGCCTTGACACTGTTAACAGCCTGATGGGTACTTGGTAGTACTGACTATAAAGTTGTCACAGAAGCTATCAGGCTCTGTGGGTGACAGTTACATCATCACCTTTTCAGGCAGTCTGGGCTCTGGGAAACATAGCTGGAGACAGTTCCGTTTGCCGAGATTACGTCTTGAACTGTTCCATCCTTAATCCTTTGTTAACGTGAGTAATTATTATCATTTGCACCTGGGGCATCTGTAAGGCGACCATGTTGCAGGTCATTTGGGGGCAGCTTACTTGATCCCTTAGGATGATAGGTAAATATAAAAAAATCTAGACGTGCATTTTAATTGCTAGAGTTAAAGGTATCTTTTGAGAATAGGAAGATTGCACCCCTAGTCTGTGTCAAGGAGGATATTGTTCCTCACCTCATGGTACTGTAGAATCTCATGTTGTTCCTGTCTGCTTCATTACTGAGCCAGGGAGAAGGGTAGGACTAGCCCATCCGGAAAAATCCAGTTTTCTCTACGGAATACATTGATTTGCTGTGAGATTATCCATAGGTACTTTGGACAGCTCTTTCTCATAGATAGAAACCCTAGAAAGGGGCATACACACCCTTCTTCTGTCCCTTCCCCACTATATACCCGTAGGGTAAGCTACATCTAAACCAAAAGAGATGAGTGAACTGTTTTTCAGAAACCTCAGTCTCATAGGCTGCCCCATCACTTTCTTAGACCGTAACACAAAACCATTCCATTCTACATAGCTATGACCCTCCCACTAAACCTTCAGCTTTTATTTTCAGAGGAAGCTACTCCTTGTGCATAACTTGTACCCAGACTTACGGGTATTGTATGTCCTACCTTAAAAGCTTTAGTCATTATGGTGATGCACAGATGTAATCCCAGCACTTAGGAGGCTGAGGCAGGAGGGTCAAGAGTTCAAGGACAGCCTGGGTTCAGTAGCAACATGCTGTCTGAAGAAACAAAAACAAAAGAAGCTTTGCAGCCTTGCTCAATATCTAGCCTTGATTTATTCCTATTGTGTGTGGTGTTAACTTGCCACATCTGGTCCTAATTTTCTGTGCATAGGTCAGCATAAACCGTGCTCGATTTAAGTCTGTGGGTAGGAGAAAAAGGCTGCCAGTCTTTGGAGTCTGATTAGATTTGCCCCCAGGGTTTGTCGGCAACAGCTCTGTACTAAGGCATCAATGCTCAGGGTCTGGCTTTGCTGTTTCCTTCAGACTCCTTACCAAGTCCACACGACTGACAATGACACGGAATGCAGTGTGGGCCCTGTCAAACCTCTGCAGAGGGAAGAACCCACCCCCAGAGTTTGCAAAGGTGAGAGCTGCTTGCCACTCCCTGAGTGATAGCAGATTCCATCCTAGGGCGTTTTTAAGTTTTAGGGGTATCCCTTGGAGTCTTAAATTATGGGAAACAGAAAGAGGCAGTTGTCAGTGAAGTAGGTAAAATTGTGTGCCTGGATGGTAAAGTGAAAAGGTAGGTTGGAAGGTTTGGGGGTTTTTTGGTTTTTTGTTGTTGTTTTGGTGATACTAGGGTTTGAACTCAGGAGTTCAAACTAGTGGTAGGCACTCTACCATTAGAGCCATTCCACCAGCCCTTGAAGGTTTAATGTAATAGTGATCCACAGGATCTAGCATTATTTGTTGGGAAGGAAGTTAGTTAGGGTTAGTGATAGAGCTGATTTAGCCCTGTCCCTTTGTGAGTCCTTATTCTATGATTCTGCTTCCAACAGGTCTCTCCTTGTTTGCCTGTATTGTCTCGCCTGCTCTTCAGCAGTGACTCAGACTTGCTGGCAGATGCTTGCTGGGCCCTCTCTTACTTGTCTGATGGCCCCAATGAGAAAATCCAGGCAGTCATAGACTCTGGAGTCTGCCGGAGATTGGTCGAGCTTCTGATGTGAGTGTTCTCAGAGAGGGTAAAGGTTTTCTAAGCTTTTCCAAACTCATCCCAAATTGCTACAACCAACAGTTTGCTTGAATACCCAAAGGTCTGGAGCCATGTGGATGCTGCCAGCCTTGGTGGTCAGCAGGGCTGAATATGGTATGCTGGCCCTTGACTGATGGATGACCTCTTCCTCTTCTGTAGGCACAATGATTACAAAGTGGCTTCTCCTGCCCTGAGAGCCGTGGGTAACATTGTCACTGGGGATGACATCCAGACCCAGGTAAGGAAGGATTAGAGCATAGGATCTAAACTCACCTGCTATGAGAGAGCATTGAGGAGAACTTCTTGTTCTTCAAGACCAGCCCAGGCAAATAATTTGTGAGACCTCCATCTCCAAAATAACCACAGCAAAACAGACTAAAAGCTACAAAAAATGTAGCTCAAGCGGTAGAGTGCCTGCTTTGAACGAAGACCAGTTCAAGCCCCCCCCCCCGCCAAAAATTAATTAATAAGGGTACGGATCTGGGTGTTGAATAACTAGCATAATCTGTGGGATTCATCAGATTTCTTACAGGTGAACAGGCACTCACTCAAACCCACACCCTCATTTTCTAGATCATTATGTAGGTATGTGCACACGTGGACATTGAAATATATACAATTTATCATGTTAACATTTCTTTTATTTTTTCAGTGTTTTTAGGCAAAATTATTTAATGTCAGTAAATTATTTAATAATATTACAGGCAATTTGCTATGTTTTGATTGGTTTACTGCACAATCAAGCTCACCTTTAAAGTTGATTTTTCTTCCAAGATAGCCCTCTTTAAAAGATGCTTAATCCAATTGTCCACAAAACTTGGGCTTTTTTTAAAACATGGGCCACTGGAATTGCAGATTGGAATTATTGATGGCAACTTCAAAATTCCCCATCTGAGGATCTGTGGGATTTAATTTCCTGAAGCAATTTATTGTTCAGTCCTAGGAGATGAATTGTAGAAAGTACTTCATATTTTGGCAAATGATCTATAATACCAAGTTTTTCTAGAAAACATTTTTCTCATTGTATCTTTTCACCCATGAGCTTAAGCAAATTGTTACAGATCTCATTGTCACTACTGCAATGCATTTACTATGATGGAAGCATGACCTGTGTCTCAATTTGGCCACTCATGTTAACCATTTCAGCATATACAGTTCAATGACAAATAATACAGTAATTTTATCTTAATTTTTTAGAGAACTACCATAATGTTTTTCATAGGCATTGCATCATTTTACATTCCTACCAGCAATGTACCAGATTCCAAATTCTTTGCATTCTTCCAACACTTGTTATTTTCTGTTGTTGCTTTTAACAACAGCCATCCTAGTGGGTGTGAAGTGATAATCTCATGTGTCTTGATTTGTATTTCCCTAATCAGTGATATTAAGCATCTTTTTTGTGTGCTTATTAGCTATCTATATATTTTTAGGGGAGAAATGTCTAATCATGTCCTTTGCTTGCTCATTTTCATTGTTGGTTTGGTTCAGGTTTCTTTGTTTTTTGGTTTTTTTGTTTTTGTTTTGATTTTTTTAATGGGACTGGGGTTGTGTAAACTCAGGACTTTGAGCTTGCAAAGCAGATGTTCTACCGCTTGAGCTAGACCTCCAGCCCATTTTGCTCTAGTTATTTTGGGTTGGCCTCAAACTTCTGTCCTCCTGACCTCAGCTTCCCAAGTAGCTAGGATTACATGTGTGAGCCACTGGCACCTGGCCTTTGCTCGTTTTTTAATTGGGTTTTTAGGACTTTTTTATTGTATAGTTGTAGGAGTTCTTTATATATTCTGAATATTAATCTTTTATCACATACATGTTTTGCATGTATTTTCTTCCATACTGCAATTTTTCTTTTTCACTATTTATGATGTCTTGATGCGCAAACATTTTTAGTTTTTATTAAGTCAAGCACCTAATTTTTCTTTTGTTTCCTGTGCTTTTGATGTTCTAGGTCATTCTTAACTGTTCAGCCCTCCCTTGCCTCCTGCACTTGCTGAGCAGCTCCAAGGAGTCAATCCGAAAGGAAGCTTGCTGGACCATTTCAAACATCACTGCTGGCAACAGAGCTCAAATACAGGTAGAACAGGCAGGAAAACTGAGGGGCATAGAGGCGTCAGAACAGGGGACTTTGTGGGATATTTGCTTCCAGAAAAAGAATTTGTTTTAGAAATGGGGTCAAGGGAAGACTAGGAGTATAGCACAGTGGTAGGGCACCTGCCTAGCATATGCAAGGTTTGATCCCCAGCACCACAAAAAAAAAAATAATAATTGGGGTCAGTGTGTGCTATTGGTCAAAGATTCTGTGTAGTAGAAGCTAGGGTCCTTATTTCTCTGTAGCCTGTCAGCTAAATGGGAAGAACAAAGGAGAATTTCAAGCTGGGGGAAGATGTGTTAGGTGATTTTTATGCTGGATTTGCTTTCTCAAAGTGACTTTCTTCCCTCCATCTCCTTGCCCTCAATCCTCTATAGGCTGTCATAGATGCAAATATTTTCCCTGTGTTGATTGAAATCCTTCAGAAAGCAGAGTTTCGTACAAGGAAGGAAGCAGCCTGGGCCATCACCAATGCCACATCAGGAGGGACCCCTGAGCAGATCAGGTATCACATTCCTTTCCCATTATCTTGAATGATATGTGCACTCTCTTTTGCTCATGGTTTACAGGTAACATCTAAACTGCTTTTGCCGAGATAGCTCTACCCCCTGGTTCAGCTGCAACAGGGTTTAACTGGTAAGCTGCTACAGTGACACTGGACTCTGAAGTGGATTCCTGCAGAGCATGACGTTTGGTTCCTTTTCCCTCCTGAAGAATACAAACCTATGGCACAGATATCCATCCCACTGTACTACTTTCTACCATCCAGAGAACTAAAACCTGCATAATTTTCAGTTATTCACACGTGAGGGGGAATCGTGCTATGGATCAATCAGAGAAGCTGCTTTGGGAAATCTTTTTTTTTGTTTTGTTTTGGTTTGGAGTTTCTTTTTCCCCCTCAATGCTGGAGATTAAACCCAGACCCTTGTGCATGCTAGGCAAGTGCTGTACTGATCTATAGCCTCAACCCTCTTTGGGAAGTCATTTTTGAAGATGAGACTGAGAGAAGCAATAGAAAGCTGTTTCATGTGTGTTTTACTCTTGGGGTTTTCGGAGACAAGGTCTTGCTGTGTAGCCCAGGGAGTCTCAGACTCACCATCCTCCCAGCTCATCCTCCTAAGTGCTAGAATTACAAACATGCACCACAACATCCAACTTGTGTATGTTCTCTTACTTTAGTTTTCATTATCTGAACATTAGTAGGAGTGGTAGGAATTGGAAAATGTTGTGATCTCCACTTGCAGCCTACTGATGAGAGCATAGTCAGTATATACAAAGCCTTAAAAAGGGATAGCCATTTAGTTAAACATGAAGGATAAATATAGGGCTGTGAAAGGCCTTTTAGACAGGGAAAAGCATAAATAAAGATTATAAGAATCAAATCTGAAGACCTTCACCCATTGACTGGAATGTTGTTTTGTTTTGTTTTGTTTTTGGTAGGAGTAGGATTTCACACTTGCAAAAGCAGGCACCCTACCACTTGCCACACCTCCAGTCTTTTTTGCTTTGGTTATTTTGGAGTTGGGGGTCGCAAAGTATTTGCCCAGACTGACCTCAAATCATGATGCTCCCAATCTTAGTCTCCCAATTAGCTAGGATTACAGGTGTGAGCCACCAGCACCTGGTTTGTAATGTAATATTCTTGGAAGGAAGTAGTAGAGGCAGAGCTAGAAAAAAAGGTAGAAGGGCTGGGTATAGTGACTCACCTGTAAACCCTAGCTACTTAGGAGGCAGAGATTAGGAGGGTCATGCTTCAAGGCCAGCATGAGCAAAACGTTAGCAAGACCCCCATCTTAGCAAATAAGCCCAGGTGTGGTGGTCCATACCTGTAATCCTAGCTATGCAAGAAGCATAGATAAGAAGATTGCAAGCCAAGATTGGCCAAAGGTAAAGGCATGAGACCCTATCTGAAAAATAACCAAGGCAAAAGGGCTGAGGGCATGGAAAGCCCTAAGTTCAAACCCAATACCTCCACAAAAAGAAAAGAAAAAGAGGTAGAAGTCATATTGTAGAATCTGTATTACCATACAGTAGAGTTTGGACTTGGAAATAAGGATTCTGTGAAAAATTTTAAGCAGGGAAATGAATATTGCAACCAAGGAGACATTAGAAGAAGGAGTCTGGTGGCATACATATGGGAAATGAATGGGAGGGTGGAGAGATTGAGATAAAGGCAGGTAGTTTTCAAGACTCGGTAAGAGTAAATTTCTGTGTGTGCTGACATGTATAAGGCAGAGCCATAGACCAAAGCACCTGTCCAGCACTTTAGTTGCTTTGCATTAATTGAAAGCTTGCCTGGTCTGTGGCCCCCAAGGTACCTGGTGTCACTGGGCTGCATCAAACCCCTGTGTGACTTGCTGACTGTAATGGATTCGAAGATTGTTCAAGTGGCCCTCAATGGACTAGAGAACATCCTGCGTCTTGGAGAGCAAGAGGGCAAGCGTAGTGGCTCAGGGGTCAATCCCTACTGTGGTCTCATCGAGGAAGCCTATGGTAAGTTCCCTCATCCTAACCTCACCTCTGCTGGAGGTAAAGATTCCAGGTCTCCAAAGTGATACAATATATAGATGTTGTTGGGGGGGTGGGTAGAAGAGTAGGGAGAGCATCCATATCTTTCATGATTCTTAAGTCTGTCTCTCTAAAACCAGTGAAAAGGGCTGGTGGCATGGCTCAGGCAGTAGAGCACCTTTCTAGCGAGTACAAAGCCTTACGTTCAAACCCCAGTACTGCCAAAAAAAAAAAAAGAGAGCTGGATGTGTGCCTCAAGTGGTAGAATGCTTGCCTAGTATGAGGCCATAAGGCACTGAATTCAAACCTTGGTATCACCAAAAAAAAAAAAAAAAAAAACAACTAAAAATAAATACAACCATTGAATAACTCCTGCTCTAGACAAGTTATAACATCCACGGGGTTTCATATATTCTCACAGGAGTAACAAGATGTACTAAGTTGGGATAGAGCTAAGATTTGTATTTGGGTCATCTTTCAAATCCAGGTTTTTATCCTACCAGTTCCTTCTTCCTTTGGGAAGCAGTAGATAAGTTCTCTTTCAGTAAATAGGTATGGTACAGGAACAAAACTTTGAGAATAACAGGTGGCAATATATACACATAGGAGAGAGATGAGGAAGGATGATGGTGGGGCGAATCTAACCAAAATACATTATAAGCATGTATGGAAATGTCACAATGAGCCCCCTCCCCCCAGCAACTAATATGTGCTAATAAAAAATTTTTTTAAAGATACAAAACTGATAATGGTATCAGGAACTTGAAGGCATATGTTTCTAGTGGAGTTTCTCACAAGATCCCATAAGAATGCTGTATTGACTCATCACCCATCTCTGAGAAGAGAGGCAAATAGTGATTTGCCCAGGTGTAGTTTAAAGCAGACTCAGGACTAGAACCTCTTATTTTTAACTGACATTTTGGCCTTTTCCTTTGGGATTCTATAATTTGAAGAATTTTTGACACTTTTTTTCAGGTCAAAGAGTAATCTGATCTTATTACTTGTGTTTGTGAACACTAACATACCTCAGGGAAAATAAAGCACATAAATGTTTCATGCATCCACTGAAAAGCCCTCACACTTCACTCTCCTTCCTTTCTTCTTGCCATCATAGGCTTGGATAAAATTGAATTTCTCCAGAGCCACGAGAACCAGGAGATCTACCAGAAGGCCTTTGACCTCATTGAGCACTACTTTGGTGTAGAAGATGATGATAGCAGCCTGGCTCCCCAGGTGGATGAAACACAGCAGCAGTTCATCTTCCAGCAGCCTGAGGCCCCCATGGAGGGCTTCCAGCTATAATGTCTGCCTCCGGGGAGGGGAGGGGATGGGAAGCACCACCAACCAGCAGAAGAGCAGCCCTCTGGTGGGCGGGAAGACAGCCCCCCATCATCAGCTACCGTACACCTGCTGCCCTGGAGACTGTGCTCTTGACATGCTCTGCCCCCTTCCCTGGAGGGAGCACCCTCTGGACTGACAGAACCATCTGAGGCTCACATTTGGGTTTTGTGACAAGAAGGGGACGTGTTGGGTTTTTCTTCCTTACACTATATTTTGACTGCACACATGTCTTTAACCCAGGAGCCCAGGGGTAGACAAAGGAGGACTGAGGTAATCAATTTGCACCTTTTTTTAATTTTTATTTTTTTCTTTAGTGGTGACTTCCTTCCCGTTTATCTTCCTTCATCCTTCCCAGTCCTCTGCCCTGATCTGTGTAACTCTTATCTTGGGTACTTGAGCAGATGGAATTACCCCAGAGGTGGGAGGTGGGAGGGGAGGGGAGAAGTCCAAAACAAAGTGTTCTTGCTCTGACAGAATATTAATCTTATATGCTTGGATTGAGTTATTTAATTGTTTTTTTTCCTTTGCACATTTTTCTTGTATTAAGGTTGCTTTTCCCAAGAGCCATGAGTTCCTGGTTTTAGAAATCCCAGCTGCCAGCATTGTCTGGGAATAGAGGCTGATAGGGAGGCCACCATGAGACAAAGGCCCCTCTCTCCCTCTGACCCTTAGCCCAGACCTCCTTAATTTGGGAGACCCCTCACTCTTCTGGGGCATTTACACCAGTGGGAGTGGAGGGGAGGAGCACAGGCCTTCAGACAGGGCTTCCCAAGTGTAGCTACTGACCCCATGTTTCCTACCCACCTTCCAAATGGTGCAACCCAACTTCATTTGTTTACTTGAAAATTCCCCTCAGAGTTGAATGAACCTCTGAGGTGGCTGTATTTTCTCCTAAGCTTGAGACAGGAGGCTGTGGTCCCTTTCTCCTGAGGAGAAAAGTTCTTGCTCTGATGACCCATAAGTTGCAGAGGAGGTTGGAGTGATAGTGTCATGTATTGGGATAGTCAGGGATCCCTGCCTTTGGCCTTTCTTCTTCCTCTTCCATAGTTGGATCATGTATATTTTACTTCCAAAGGAGAGAATGTCAAATAGCTCTGTATTTTTTTATATTCTATATATTAGGTAGGTCAATCTTAATTGGTCTGAGGAGAAGGAACCGTCTGTAATTTCTTTGATTAGGATACTGTGAGGAACACAAAAAGATGTGGAAGCTCTCCTGCTCAGAAAGCCTGAGCTTGGTCCTTTTCCTCTCTGCTTGGATTCTGGACCACCCCTTGGGACCAACCCTCAGCTCTGGAACCTTTATAAAGCAGATCAGCGTGTTGTGATTGTCCCAGTAGCTGAAGGGAGTGAGGAAAGGCCTCAAAGCCTGGTGACATCTACTACTTTAGTCCTCCTTCTTAGCATCCTGCTTGTATCAGGAAACCCAGAAAGCAGTCTGCCTTCTCAAACTCAATCTCAAAGGCCATTATCCACATACTTTGTCACACACAGCTGCCTCTCCTATTATAGAAACTTAGCAGCCTGAATATTCCTGGAGAACTGTTGGTATCTTCCCTGTTTGGGATCCTTGTACCTGGTTTGAGTTTTCCTTTCCTTGTGACAATTATAATCCAGATTCCTTTTCTTTGTCCCTGAGTAAAGCTAGTGTAGTGCCTCAGTGGCTTGCCTGTGCCTCTGGTGGGTTATATATGAGAGTAAAGCCCAGCTGTTGGGGATGTGGTAGAGGAAGTTGTCAGCTAATTGTAGAGTAGCTGTGGAGCTGGCAGCAGTCTGCTCTGCCCTTTGCATCATCTGCACTGTGGTTAGTTAGAGATGTCCTGCTCTAAGCTACAAACATCTAAGAACGACAAACATTGTCGTTCTTGCTCCCATTCCTATATAACCCCTTTTGGCTCAGGTGAAATCTATACCCCTTTGCTTACGGAACTAAAGTTCAGGTTCTGATTGTTGGCTATTGGTCTTGAATTTGCCCTCACTCAAGAACCATTTTCTGAGGAAGACATTTAGGACTAGCAGTTTATACTGAACAATCACACTAGTCTTGTGCTTCCATGTTGAGTCAGACGCCACTTGTCAGTTTAGGATTGGCCTCCCCAATCTCCTGGGAAGGGGTGGGACCTTTTTCACCTGGCCTGTTGCCTCCATTACAAAACTATTCCAAAGGACAACTTCCACCACTGCCCACCATCAACCTTGTCTGAAGGTCAGAGCAACTTAGCAGGATCTACTTTATACATCTCAAGCAACAGTTAAAACAGTTAAGTTCCTGACTACAGCCAGATTCTTAGTGTGAGACAGAAATTTTCTGCTTTCCCAACTGGTCCTCTAAAATCTGTTTGGCTTCTGATCTGGGTCCTCTAACAGATGGAAGACTGTTGGTCATGCAGCTGCTGCTTAAAGCCAGTTTCTCCAAAGACTTTAAAGGCAGAATTCTACTGGTACAATGTGTGGACAAATTTCAGAGAAAACTGGCTTCTTGGAGATTTTCCTTGTGTCTATCCCTAATCATATTTTCCCTAAATTTCCTTATAGTCCATAGGTGAAGTTCTTTCAGCCCAAAGAGGGAGTAACTTTTTTTTTTTTTTTTTTTTTTTTGGTGGTGGTACTAGGGATTGAACTCAGGGCCTTGTGCTTGCTAGGCAGGCACACTACCACTGGATCCATGCCCCTAGACCATAACATCATCTTTGTATCTCTTCCTCTCCTTTGGCCATCTTGTGAAGAGCTACTCTTTTTGGACACCCCACCCCTAAACTCTAGATACTGCCCTAGGTGAGATCAGAGCTTTTCTAGCAGATTTCTGAATGGTTAATGGCTAATCTGGAGGGGCTTCCCAGTCTATTAGAGCTTCTCAGTGAGCCATGTTTTTGGAATCCTCATATATCAACACATGACTCTTACATCCATTTTAAGATCTCTAGTGGGGGTGGAGGTATCTAGGTGTGGATTAAGAGAACAAGGGTCTTTTTCCTAGCTCGGATGTTCAAGTACTGATTTGAACAGTGCCAGTTACTGTTTATTGCCAGCCTCTCTAGGCATTCCACCCCCAGGTCATCTTCTCTACTACTAAAAGGGTCTCTGGTCTTAGAAGCCTATCTCCAGTTTGCAGCTATCTCCAGGACCATCAGGCCTTGGTGATAGCTGCAGCCTTCTGGTAGAACTATGGGGCTTCTGTCCTCCACACACCAGCCTGGTTACTTGGGTCTGTGGGCACAAATGACCCTTCCAAGGAGCACGAGTTGATGACTTCATCTTTTGGATACCTTTTATGTACCTCCTTACCTAGGACCCTTATATCTACAGCTCTACCTTTGGTTCCCTGGAATCCATTTCCCAGGAGCCCCATTTTTTGGAGCTAAACTGCACAGATTATAGCTGCTATTGTACTTAATTTTGAGAGGAAAAAGACTCTAGGCAAGGACTTTCTAATTCTCTCAATCCAAACTAATTTAAAAGGAAAACTGCCTAGCAAAATGAATTATTTCCATTTTCTCATGTCTACTTGCCTGGGAAGCAGAGGAAAGCCTAGTGATAATAACCTCCTCAGCCCACATGCTTCTCTTTGAAGGCCCTAGCTCTTTTGTTGAGGCCTCCTCTCTTCTTCCCTAGACTTACTCAGCTTGGTATCACCCTCTTAGGTATTCCTTAATAGATTGATCCTGTGGGCTCAGATTCTAGGTTCGTAGTTCAAAACGGGAACCAACTTCTTTAGGTCCCTACAGACACTCCAAAGACCCAATAGAGATGGCTGGGGGACTTCCCTGGCAGGCTGGGGAAGGGTTGTAAGGCACCGAACCATAGGAAATACTTATGACCAGTAGCAGCATCTTCCAGGAAGTACTGCCCTACAAGGTAGTGAGGGTGAAACTCAAAATGCTCAGTGTGTGTTTCTTCTGGCCATTTAGGATTACACATTCTAGACCAACTTTGTCCAGCATTTTTTTGTGTGTTTTATCATTTGAATTCTTTTGTTAAACCAACAACCTCAGAATTTGACCCTGTAGGGATATAAGTGGTGGGTACTAGCTGCTCTTTGGCCAAGGCCTTCATAAATGATTAAGTCATCCAATTGTCTATCCCCTACCCCCACCCCAGAAAAAGACCATGACAAGGGAAGTATTTGAGATCGAAACCAACCAAATCTGTGTCTTAAAACTGTTGTTTTCCTTTGAGAGGGCATTTTACTTCAAGCCTGGACTGTGTGCAGGACCAAAACTGGCTGTGCAAGAAGCATCGTTAAATTAAGGGACCCAGAACATCCTGGGAGAAAGGTTTGTGTGATGTGTTTTCAGGGGCTTGGGCCTGCCTACCTACTTCTGAGCTAGCCTAACTACTAATGCCCACATTTGAACATACTGGGAACCTCTTTGCTACTCACTAGTCCTGCTCTCCTTTGTATGTCTGGCTTTTAGCCTCTATGCCATGCCCAGGAGGCTGTAAAGGAGGAAATCACAGCTCACATCCTGAGACTGGGAACCCCTGACTCAGGTTCCTTAAAGAGTCCAGAGTATGTGACTCGAAGGCTCTGGAGCTGGATATTGGCTTTTTTAGCCAGCTCTTGTGGGAAATGCCTTTTTTTAACTTAATAAGGGAAGGGGCCATGAGATCTCAGCTACCCAGCAGACAGGATGTCCCCAAGCACGGCTTGGGTTTGCAGCTAAGGACCTGAGGAAGGTGAAGTGAATCCTCATTGCTGTTGCTTTCCAAATTCATTTTCTTTCATTTTTTTAAGAACTCTAAATTCTGGCTATTTTTCGTGTCCTCAGGGCCCTTGGGTAGACAGAAAGCTTGATGATTTCAGAGCAGACATAGGCCAAGAAACCGTGTAGCATTGAGTGTGCTGAGTCCAGACAAATGATATTTATATACACATCCAAATTTGAAGAGAAAATGTATTTCTTTAGGTTTCAAACACTGTAATAGATATAAAGCAAAAATAAAAACCTGTTGCAAAGTTCTAAATTGTCTTCTTTCATTTAGAGTGACCCTGGATGAGATTATTTAGAAGTGAACAAGGATTTTAAACCTGTAGCTTATCAGTGGAAATGAGAATTACACCAAGCCAGCTGCCAGTGGCTCACATAATCCTAGCTACTTGGGAGGCTGAGATCAGGAAGATAGCAGTTCAAGGCCAGCCTGAGGCAAATAGCTCGAGAAACCCCTATCTCTAAAATAATAAGAGCCAAGAGGCAGTAGAATACCTGCTTTGCAAGTGCAAAGCCCTGAGTTCAAACCCCATTCCCACCAAAAAAAAAAAAATTATACCAAGCTGGACACAAAGGCATGTGCCTATAGTCCCAGCTACTCTGGAGGATGAGTCAGGAGGATTGCTTGAATCTAGGAGTTCAAAGCCAGCCTAGGCAACAGTGAGACCTCTGTTTCAATAAGAAAAAACACCAACTTGTTTCTGCTATTAGATTTTTTTAATTGGCTTTATTGCCATGGAATTGACATACAATAAATCCTATGTTTAGAATGTACATTTTCATGAGAGGCAGAGATGGAAAAATCATAGTTAAAGGCCAGCTTAGGCAAATAGGGCAAAAAAAAAGTTATGGAGACCTGCATCTCAACAAGCAAGCTGGTTCCTGTCTATATCCCAGGTAGGTGAGAGGGGGAGGTATGAGGATCTCAGTATAGCTGGCCCTGGTCAAAAAAGTGAGACCCTACCAAAAAATTAAGGCAAAAAAGGCTGGGACATGACACAAGTGGTAAAGTACCAGCAATAAGTGCAAGGCTCTGAGTTCAAAACCCCAGTATCACAAAAAATAGGTAATTTTGACAAGTTCATGCACCCATGAAACCATCACAATCAAGATGGTGAACATGTATCTATCACCTCCCTAAGTGTCTGCCTCTTGGGAGTCCCTCGTCCTCCTCCCATCCCAGCAAACAGTGATGTGTGTTTTCTCACTTTAGTTTGAATTTTCTAGAGTTTCTCTAACCACTGTAGATTCAGCATCATTCCACAGCCTTTTGTCCTTATTAAAGTCAAATCTCAAATCTCTCCCTTAAGTTTAGATCAATTCCTAAAGCAGATTTAGTGAAGCAACCAAAAATTGATTAAACCCACAAGGAAGGTAGTTTGTGCTAGGGATTGAAGATGGGGTCTCGAGCATGTTAGGTAAGCACTCTTAACCACTGAGCTACAACCCCACCCCAAACATTTTTAAAAACCATGAAATAGGTCTTGAACAGTACTATGTGGCAGTATTAAATTTAAGTTTCTGCTCAGCAACAACCTGCAAAAGCTGCTATGTTTTACTGTGATCATCTCAATTGCTGCTTGTCCCAAGTCTACCACATGCTAACATTGTGGTATCCTTTTATAGCAGAGGAAAAGTAACCTTTTAACCCCTGTTTCTGTCAATGTTTTGTATTGCCTGCCTTCCCTGTAAGCACTTCCTGCCATATCCTCCACCTCATGCATAACTTTTTCGTGCTTACTAGATCCTTTCTCTGTCAAGAACACCTTTGTGGGCTCGCTCTCTCTCTCTCTCTCTCTCTCTCTCTCTCTGCTTCCCTTTCTGGCTGCTCTCGCTTCACCTCAGGCCCAGAAACAACAGTCAAGCAACCATGGGCTGAAACCTCTGATACTGTGAGCCAAGATAAATCTTACCTCCTTTAAAAAAAAAAAAACACCTTTGTGGGCTGGTGGAGTGGCTCAAATGGTAGAGTGCCTGCCTAGCAAGTGTGAGGTCCTGAGTTCAAACCACAGTACTCCCACCAAAAAAAAAAAACACCTTCTTTGTATATGTGACATCTTCAAAAGATTTCCAACATGGCTGGGCACCAGTGGCTCACCTCTGTATCCTAGCCACTTGGGAGGCAGAGATCAGGAGGATTGAGGTTCGAAGCCAGCCCCAGGCAAAAAGTCATAAGACCCAATCCCAAAAATAACACAAAAAAGGACTAGTGGAGTGACTCAAGTGGTAGAGCGCCTGCCTAGAAAATGTGAGGCCTGAGTTCAAACCCCACTATCACCAAAAAAATTTTTCAGCACTTCACTGCTAATGTTGTAATAGAAGTCCAGTCCTAATCTTCCTTTCCCTATTTAGCCTGTCCCACAAGAGAGCTAGGATAAATCAGCAGAGCAATGAGAAGACTCTGAAGTGACCTTAAAGCTGGGCCTCATAAGTGCTTGTTTTTTGGCACAAGGGCATTTTGGTGGTGGTTTGGTTTGTTTTGTTTTGTTGTGGTATGGGGGTTTGAACTCAGGGTCTTCACCTTGAACCAGTCCACCAGCCCTATTTTTGTGATGGGTTTTTTCAAGATAGGGTCTCACAAACTACTTGCCCAGGGTTGGCGTCAAACCTCGACCCTCCTAATCTCTCCCTCCTGAGTAGCTAGGATTACAGGCATCAGCACCAGTGCCCAGCTTGGTGGGATTTTTTTGTTTTGTCTTATGGATAGTACAGGGGATTGAACTTAGGTCTCACGCTAGAACATTCTGGAAGAACAACATCTGCAAAAAACGGAAAAATCCTGGAAATAGTGAAAATAGTTGGGAAAAAAATGGCAATGGGTGGGCTGATGTAGTGGTTGAAGTGGAAGAGTGCTGCCTAGCAAGAGTGAGGCCCTGAGTTCAAGTCCCAGTCCCACAAAAGAAAAAAATGGCATAGGGCATGGGGAGGATTGGCTGGGAACAGGCAGAAACCAAACTAGTTTCAGATTTATGTTCAAGGATTGTTAGGGTTTATTCTGCATTTATAGGCAATGAGAATAAAGAACTGTGATCTCACCTGAGATAACAATTGTGTTTGCTTCTAAAAGATGTTTCCCTAAACTAACAAATCACAATGGAGAACCACGAAAAAAAACTGGCCTTTTTTCAACTTTAACCCTAGTGTAAAAGGGACCTTGCAGTGGGTGTGCCAAAGAAAAGGCTCGTGAATCTGCCTAACGCCAAAGTCCCTATGCAAGGATGGATCCCTTCCTGAAGACTGACTGCTAAACTGGTGATAGGGAGAGAAAAACAACCCATTTTCATAAGTTACTTGGACTCTGCCTCAGGGAAAGCCTGTTCTGGTGATAATTCCCTCTGGGTAAAAGGCGGAGTAGTAAGTAAAAAGAAGAGAATCTCTACTTTAACCACTCAAATATGGACGTGGCCTTGGACAAGTTATCTAGCTCTTGCCTCATTGTCCTATACAGTGACACTAATTTTTCCAGTTTACCGAACAAACTACTTAAATCAAGGAATTATGAGGATCAAGCAATAGATACAAGGAAAACAACACAAGCATTCAGAACTATCGTAACACCTCCATTGGAAGAGAGAGAAAATGAATGCCCAGTCACACAGCAATGTGGGGGATTACTTTAGGATTTAAATACTTAAATCCTGCTTCCCAGTCCAGCGCTTTGTATTTCTTCCTGAGTGCTCAGATTTCCTACATAGAGTCAGACATGTTCGCAGTATGGGAGTACAAAAAAGAAGAGCCAGGCGCTAGAGTTCGGGGGCCGAACATAGCTTGCGCGCTCTAAAATCGTGGCTCACACAGCCTGTGAGCGGACTGATGGCCCCTTTCCGACCTGCGGAGCACCTATTTGGATCTTAGGATGAAAGCCCATTCTATTGCATCTCGGGAGTTGTGGCCTACCCCGATGCATGAAGGGACAGGTAGTCCTTTCACGCCCCCGTCTCCGAAGCCACCGTCCTTTGGTCTTTCCCAGCACGCTCTGCGGCAGTGCCGGCTGCTGATTGGCTGCTGCGGGAGCGGGCGGCCCTTCAGGCAGCGGTTACCCGAGGTTTCCGGTGCAGAGCAGAGTGGGGGACGCCGTCCGACGTCGGCGGTGAGGTAAGTCCAGCGGCGGCTGATGAGACGAGAATTTCAGAGGCTCTGTGGGCCAGGACGCATCGACCAGCGGGGGATCGTGCTGATTCCGCGCGTGGGCTATGGAGCGCGGGAGGGTTGATGCTTTGCGCATGCGCGGGCGTGCCGCGCGGCTGGAGGGCGCTTAGGGCGTGGGTGTGTGCGCGCGCGCGGGGGCCCACGTGGGGTCTGCGAGGCGGGGGAGGGGTCAAGACTTGGGCGTCCGGCCACGTCAGTCTGCGGCCTAGAGCCAATCCCGCCCTCGGCCTGCTGCAGGGGGTCGTGTCGTGCCGGGAAGTGGCTTTGGGAGAAACGAGGTCTCTTTCCTCACTCTCTCCAGGAGCAGCCCTCCGAAAGCCTGCCAGGGCACTCTAGAGTCCCCTGACTGGCCAGCGACAGTGCTGTCCGGTGAAGGCCAACCAATTTGTTTGAAGAAGCTTTGTGCGCCTGGTTTTGGGTTTTCTAATCCAGTCTGCGGAGAATTTCGAAGTCTGAATAATAGCAACTGTATTTGTTTCTAAAGGGTTTGCCCTTAACCCAGCATTGCAAATCATAATGAAGAACCAAGACAAAAAGAATGGACCTGCCAAACAGTCCAGCTCAAAAAGCAGCCCGGGTCAACCGGAAGCGGGACCAGAGAAAACCCAGGGACGGCCCAGCCAGGCGGCTCCTGCGACAGAAGCTGAAGGTTCCGCCATCCAGGCTCCTGGGAAGACGGAGGGTGTGTGCCAACTCTGCTTTTCCAGCGCCAGAGGGAGGAGTTTGTGGTAGTGGCTTTGCTTTTGGAGTTAGAGGCTGAGGCCACTGTTTGCCCAGGAAGGAGGAAATGCAGAAGAAGAAAGGAAATAGTGCCCATCTGTGTAATCCCCACTTTCCTGGAAAGGGAGTAGAGCCTCCCACTCTCAGCCCTGGAATAGAACTGTTGGGAGCAGGCTCTGACAGGTTTAAACCTGAGCCACTCCACCAACCTATCTGACAGGTTTAAATGTGGTGACAGTTAAATGAGACACCTCCACCAGCAAAGCCAACTCCCCCAGAAACACCTCAGTCGCTGGTGGGTAATTGCCCTTTCTATTTGAGGCGTTTCTGGAACTGTATGCATAGAGAAAAAATGGCTTTTGAGGGGAAGCAGATGGGCTAGAGGTTGAGTTCTCCTTACATACTTTTTTTATGCTCTTAACAACATGTTCAGGTGGTAGTAAGAAATAGAACATTTTATAGTAAACTGAGGCTTAAAGAAATAGGCAACATTTAACCCAAACCAGTGAGTCTGGCTGGGCCTGAAAATAATCCCAGGCAGTGATCTGAACTTATTTCTCATCCACCCCTTATCCTTTCTTGCTATAGGTGCTCAAGCTAAAACAGCTCAGTCTGGGGCCCTCCGTGATGTTTCTGAGGAGCTGAGCCGCCAGTTGGAAGACATACTGAGTACATATTGTGTGGACAATAATCAGGGGGGCTCTGGTGAGGACGGAGCACAGGGTGAGCCCTCTGAACCCAAAGATGCAGAGAAGTCCCGAACCTTTGTGGCAAGAAACGGGGAGCCTGAGCCAGTGACTCCAGTAGTCAACGGTGAGAAGGAGACCTCTAAGGGGGAGCCAGGCACAGAAGAGATCCGGACAAGTGATGAGGTTGGAGACCGGGACCATCGAAGGCCACAGGAAAAGAAGAAAGCCAAGGGTTTGGGTACGAGAGGGCAGCTACTTGTAAGATTCGTAAGGGGAGGGAGGTTGGACTTGTTGTTCCATGGGCTAGCCTGCTTTGCCAGCATTCAGAGAAAACTACTTTTCAGAGCAGCCAAAGCCAGTGATGTAGGGTCACAGCATAGATGTGTGCAGGTTCCTCACTGCAAGACGTCCTACCCTTGGGAGTGAGTGGGGGCTGAAATCCAACCTGCTCTTCTCTTTGAGAAAGTGGAGAATAGGCCCGATAGACTGCTGTGCTTACCACAGCATGTGATCTTGGGCATATCCTTTCCCCTTTCTGCGTCTTAGTTTGCACATTTTTACAGTTAAAGAATTGGATTACACCAGGTTGAAAACTGAAATGCCTACATAAGCTAAGTTAGAGAACCAGGAGAGGGTCTACTTCATCCAAAGAGTTGACTGCCACATGGTTAGTTCCATGCTCTCAACTGACTAGTTGAATTGGCAACCAAAATAGTAGGAACCCAGAAAAACCCACCCATGGGTTCTATTTGCAGTCTCCATGTTAATCTGCTTGGGCCTCCCAGGGTTGATACTTCAGGAACCTGGTCTATGCTGTACATAGTAAGGACTCAGGAGACAGCTGGAAAGCAGTGAGGAAAAGATAGTGGTTGTCATTTGACAGCAGGGTGTGTGTATGTGTTTAGAATCTAGGTTAGGCTGGGCATGGTGGCCACACCTATAATCCCAGCACTGAGGAGGCTCTTGAGTTCAAAATCAGCCTGGGCTACATAGCAAGACCCTGTCAAAAAAAGAGAGAGAAAAAAAAAATCTTAAGTTAGGTGATATTACTCCCATGTCCTGGTCTCTATTTCCTCGACCTATTCTAACAACAGGGATTTTTTTTTTTTTTTAAATCTTAGGATCACATATATGGCAGGGATATTCACTTGAAAGTTCAGTTTGGCTATCTCTTTTTTTTTTTTTTGGCAGTACAGGGGTTTGAACTCAAGGCCTCACACTTGCTAGGCCAACATTCTACCATTTGAGCCACTCCATCACCCCTTTTTTGTTTTGGGTGTTTTCAGTATAGGGTCTCATGAACTATTTGCCCAGGCAGACCTTGAACAGTGATCCTCCAGATCTCTGCCTTCCGGATAGCTAGGATTATAGGTGTGAGCCACTGGCACCCAGCTTGGCTACATCTCTTGACAGGAAGTTAGTTAATTTTTCAAGCAAGCCTAAGACTTACTCCTTTTGGGATCTTACCTTGTCATGAGGTCCTTCCTAGCATTCAGCAGTAGCCCTGAATTTGCAGGTGGAACACCGGTTGGTAGAGCTGGCAGTGTTTTCCTTCTACCAGTGGTGCCCACCAAGAAGATTCCATAGAAATTCATTCATTTGTTCAGTAAGCATTTGTTAGTGAGCACGGAGTCTGTGGTGGTACTGTGGTGCTACATTGGTGGCAGGATTAAGTTCTTCTTCTAGCACCTTTTAAAGCTGCTTCATTACTCACAAGTGTGAGCCGGGGCCTGGAGGGGGCCCCCAAGAAGGGGTTTCATGCCTTTGCTCCTTGTGCTTACAGGGAAGGAGATCACATTGCTGATGCAAACACTGAACACGCTGAGTACCCCAGAGGAGAAGCTGGCAGCACTGTGCAAGAAGTATGCTGAACTGGTCAGTCCCCTCTTCTTCTGGTATTCTCCCTACCTTTGGAAAGTCAACAGGCTTTGAGGTGGAGGTGCAGGGGCAGCTGGCTGGCTTAATTCCTGATCAGATGTTCTCCAAACCTTTCCCTGGGGCAGACTGTAGAGGAGAAACGAAATGTGACATTCTTTGAAAAAAATTTCTCAGATTCCCAGGTGTTAGAGCCATAGCTCCTGGCCTGGGTCCCAGGTACCATAAGATCTTGCTCTTACATGTTTCTGTATACATCTCTTTAAAATGTAGAGATGCACTGTGCCGTTGTCACACTTAACAATATTAACACTAGTCACTTGCTATTCATTTTCCTTTTACTCCAGAGCAGTTCTTCATCTTCTCTCTTGTTCCCCATGATATTGACCTACTGCAGAACCAAATTCGTTATTCCGTGTGATGCCCTGCCTCTAGCTTTCTTGTCTTTGTGGTAGCACTTAACTTGTCCCTTTTTCTCTTTAGTTCTAAGTTAAGTGGAAATTAACTCTAGATACTTAATCAAATTCAATTTTTGCCACAAGAATTCTTAGGTAGTATTCTCTGCTTTATATTGCACCACAAGAAATACCAAGTGTGGTCTTTTGTTTTCATAGCATTGGGGATCGAATCCAGGGCCTCGAATATGCTAAGCAAATTATCTACCACTGAGCTATAGCCCTAGCCCCCATGTATGGTTTTTCGGTGTTGTAAAAGTGTTGAGTGAATTCATGGGGCCAGTGATATCGCTCTTGTCAGGTCCCCCTCAGAATTTGAATTAGTAGATTCATCCATTGATGGTCATTGCCTATTTACTTATTGTAAAATCCTTTCAAACCATCTACATTTCCTAGTTGGTATTCTTAAGGAGCTTATCTCATCTGTAAAATGGGGTGAAATATGCTTCCTGCTTAATGGGATTCTTATAAGAACTAAATAAAAGAAAAATATAAAGAAGATAAACTCCATTTTGGAAAGACTTGGCTAGGGAAAGATTACTAGTGCAAAAGAGGAGGAAGTGAGCTGCTAGAGTGATCTGAGTAGAGGAGGGAAACTGAGGACCTATTCATGAGGACAGGGCTCCACCTCAGTGAGAGCATGGCCAGGTCTGTGACTTAGAGGAAAGGACAGATGCAAGTGGATTGGTGAATGGGGACTTTGTGCCACTGCTCCTGTAGTTTCTTCTGTGTGTTCCAGGGAAATAAGAAAGGTGGCTATAACCGGAGTGAGGGAGATTTGAAGGAGAGGATAAAATAGGTGTCTGGAAAAGGAGTATGAATAGCATGAGAAATGTAGTGGGGCCAGGCGCTGGTGGCTCATGCCTGTAGCTGCTTAGGAGGCAGAGATCAGGAGGTTCAAGGCTCGAAGCCAGCCTGAGCAAATAGTTCAAGAGACCCTATCTCAAAAAAAAAAAAAAATCACCAAAAAGGTCTAGTGAAGTGTCTCAAGATGTAAGCCCTGCGTTCAAGCCCTAGTACCGTGAAAAGAAAAAAGAAATGTAGTGGGATTGCTAGACTGCTAGACAGGTGGGGTCTTCCCAAAATTAGTGACTAAAATTACAGCGAGATTCTTCAAGGAGGGCTGCTTCGCTGCTAGTGCTGAGTAAGAAAGAAGGTGCTTTACAGGGTCAATGGGCCAAGAGAGTGGAAGATAAAAGAAATGTAATCCAGGTAAGAAACTGAGTGATTGTTTAAAGGAGGGCTGAAAGAGACTGAAAGGTTGATGAGTCAGTGACATCTAGTAGACATCCAGTAAGGTAAGAGACTTTCTAGAGACCACAAAAACTGGTGGGAATGACCTAGAAAGAGGTGGTGGTAAGTCCTGGTCTGGAATCTTGGAATTGAACTAGCTACCAGGTGCAGTTTCTGGTAGTGACAAAGACTAGACCTGTGCTGTCCATGATAGCAGCCTTTAGCTAATTGATGTATGACTAGTCTGAATTTGGATCTGTTTGAAGTATAATATACACATCAGCTTTCAAAGCCCTAAGATAAAAGGAAGGAGTTAAAACAGCTCAAATTAATTTTTTTAGTTGATTCCCTCTTGAAATTCTGATGTTTGAGGCTGGAGATGTTGCTCAGTGGTACAGTGCTTGCCTACCACATACGAAGCCCTGGGTTCATCATCAGCACTGCAAAAACCTAGTGTTTTGAATATTCAGATTAAATCATTGTTGTTATATTAGGGACTGGGGATACAGTCCAGCAGTGAAGCTAACATGCTGAGTGAGACCTGGGGTTCAAGCCCCATCACCACCACCACCACTTCTAGAAAGGAAATTAAATTTCACCTATATCTTTTTTACTTTTTCCGTGTGGCCAACAGAAGATTTTAAATTATATATGTGGGTCACATTTTATATCTGCTGTCCAAAGTGGTGTAAGATCATGGGAGGTAAGCCAATCTAGAAAAAAGGAGTGAGTCTGTGGACTTTGAAGACAGGGGCATCAGAAGGATTGTCTGTTTATATTGAAGTAGCCAAAAAATGAGAATAGTAATCATGGTGGAGTGAATAATAGTGAATTCTGGAAGTAATGAGAAAGAATGGTGGGGGGTCTGTGAATGGTTCAGAGATGGGGTTAGGGTTACAGTCACACTCTAGGGTTTGTGTAGCAAGTTGGGGCTGTGAAATGATATGAAGTGTCAAGAGCTCCCTCTTGTCAGAGCTGATATAGAATCTGGGATCTGCTGGCCTTGTGACACACTGCTCCCAGTGAGTTGTCCTTTCCTATCTCCCTTAGATGGGCCCTTGGGCTAACGTAGGGAGTTTGTAGGGGGAGCACGTAAAGGTCCTAGCCATATTAGCCTGTGAGAGTACTCTTGGCCTGAGCTGCTGCATGGAGTGGAAGGAAAGAACACCGCTCACCTCTGTTCAGGAGAGCCCCTCCGCCCCCCCCACCCCCAAGCACTTACTGCCCTCTTCATCCCCAGCTGGAGGAGCACCGGAATTCACAGAAGCAGATGAAGCTCCTGCAGAAGAAGCAGAGCCAGCTGGTTCAGGAGAAGGATCACCTGCGAGGCGAGCACAGCAAGGCTGTTCTGGCCCGCAGTAAACTGGAGAGCCTGTGCCGAGAGCTGCAGCGGCACAACCGGTCACTCAAGGTAGGCAAGGGTGTGGCTTGGGTTTCTTAGAATTCATTGATCTTTGGTGGATTTTCCCTTTAAAAGACACAATATAAAAATGTACTCCCCAGGGCTGCAGGTGTTGCTCAGTGGTAGAGCACTTACCTAGAAGCCTTGGGGTTCTATCCCTAGCATAAGGTAGTATAGGCACACCACCCAGTAATGGCCTGCCTTTGAGAGGACTACTTACTGCTAGTACATGTCAAGTGGTTACAGTAAAAGAGTAAAATTGCTAAGAAAACCACAAATGAAGTGGGCTCAATATTTCCGAGATATAGTCCCTTGCTATGTTAGTCAGTTTTACCTTTGCATAACAAATACCTAAGTGAATCAGTTCATAAAGACCAAAGGTAGCCAGTGGCTCACACCTGTAATCCTAGCTACTCAGGAAGCAGAAATTAGGAGGATCATGGTTGTAAACCATCCCCGGCAAATAGTTTGTGAGACCCTATCTCAGGAAAAAAAAAAAAAATGCACCACAAAAAAAGGGCCAGTGGAGTGGCTCCAGTGGTAGATTGCCTGCCTAGCAAGCATGAGGCCCTGAGTTCAAACCCCAGTGCTGCCAAAAAAAAAAAAGACTAAAGGTTTATTCTGGCTCATAGTTTTGGAGAGATTCTAGTCTACAACCAGGTGAGGCCTCTGGTGAGGGAGGGGGTACAGAACATCATTGCAGGAGTGCATGGCAGAGCAAAAGTTCTTACATCATAGCTGGGTAGCAAAAAGATGGGGACAGACTGGGTCTTATTATCCCTTTAAAGGCACACCTACAATAACCTAAAGAAAAGGTTCCAGTGCTTCTCAATAGTGTCACAGTGGATACCAAACCTTTTCCAAATAAACCTTTGTGGGTCCTTAAGATTCAGAGTATAGCACCTGATAAGCAGAGATGTAGCACTTGTCCAGAGGTTCATCATTCAGAAGCCTGAGTTCTATTCCCGTTGTGCTTCTCCCAGTATAGGCTAGTATAGGATCACTCTGTGATTAAAGCCTGCTCACTGCCATGAACTCTTTTTTTTTTTTTTTTTTTTTTTTTTTTGAGGCACTAGGGTTTTAACTCAGGGTCTCATGCTTGCTAAGCAGGTACACTTACCACTTGAGCCACTCCACCAGCACTTGCCATGAACTCTAGATGTGAATAGGTGGTATTTTGAAACTTGTTTTGTTTTTAGTTGATGTCATTTAGAATATTGTCCATAAAGGTAACATACATTTGTCAAAGATGACAAGGGCTGGGCATGATGACTCTCACCCACAATCCCAGCTGCACAGATGGTAAAAGGATTACCATCCCAGGCTGGCCTCTGGCAAAAATGCAAAACCCTGTCCAAAAAATAACTAAAGCAAAAGAGGCCTAGGGTATGGCTCAAGTGATACAGCACCTGTCTAGCAAGCACAAAGCCCTAATTGCAAACCCAAAAAAAAAAAAAAAAAGGCAAAACTGTTTTTAAAAATTAAATGTAGCTAGGTACCAGTAGCTGTAATCCCAGCTACTTGGGAGGCTGAAATCGGGAGGATTTAAGTTCAAGGCCAGCCTAAAACAAATAGTTGGAAAGACTCCAAAATAACCAGGGCAAAATGGACTGGAGGTGTGGCTCAAGGAGTAGAGCACCTGCTTTGCAAGTGTGAAGCCCTGAGTTTAAACCCCAAATTCACCAAAAAAAAAAAGTAATAATTGCCCACCCTCCTCAACTCCAATACCACCATTTATTTCATCCCCGTGAAATAAGCCACTTAAATGTTAGTTTAAGTGCAGCCTTCTAACATTCCTCTATATATGTAAAATCTTATGTTCAGATTTTAAATGAAATTATGACACCAGTACTGACTGATTGCAGTACTGGAGTTTGAACTCAGGGCCTTAATGCTTGCTAGGCAAATGCTCTACTGCTTGAGCCACTTTGCCAGCTATGTTTTGTGTTGGATATTTTCAAGATAGGGTCTTGCAAACCATTTGCCCAGGCTAGCTTCAAGCTGTGATCCTCCTGATCTCTGCCTCTCCAATAGCTAGGATTATAGGTGTGAGCCACTGCACCCTGCTCACCAATACTCTAGTAGTTTTGTATCCTGTTCCCTTTTCTCACTTTAAACCTTATCTTTCCATCTCATTTCACACAGGGCCATCTCATTTTTTTTTAACAACATTGTTAGGTAGATAATAGTATATTTGATCAGTGGCCAACTTAAAATATTTTGGATTGTTTGTAATTTTTCACCATTACAGAGCTGCAATGAAAATTCTTATTCTGTATGTACAGTAGTGTAGAGTTTATCTATAGAATAAATCTCAGCATTCAGATGGCCAGTTCAAAGAGTATGCAGATTTTAAATTTTGATAGTTTTTTCCAAATTGCCTTCCAGTAAGGGGACAATTACACCCCCATCAACAAAGACTGCCTAGTTCTACACAACTCTGGATATCACTGAATGATAACAACTTGGTCTCTGGGAGGAATGAGGGAACAAACCACATTAAAACAGGAATATTTGGTCTGAAAGCTGGGAAAACAGACATCAGAAGATTGAAATTGCTGTAGAATGGCACTTAACATGTGTGCCTACATTTTTCTAGGAAGAGAATCTCACTTGATGTCGCCTGATTTATACAGGGATACATTAGGAAACCCCAGTGTATGCCTGCCTGCTTCTTATTTGGGTAGCAGGAAAGGCTGTTGGCAGAGACTCTGTGAACTAGTTGGGGGAGCCTTGTGTGGCTGGCTAGGAAGCAGTGAGTGATGGTGCTGGGGCTTGTTTCTTTGCCCAGGAAGAAGGCGTGCAGCGGGCCCGGGAGGAGGAGGAGAAGCGCAAAGAGGTGACCTCACACTTCCAGGTGACACTGAATGACATTCAACTACAGATGGAGCAGCATAATGAACGCAACTCCAAGTTGCGCCAAGAGAATATGGAGCTGGCTGAGAGGCTCAAGAAGCTGATTGAGCAATATGAGCTACGTGAAGAGGTGAGGTTGTTGTGGTCAGCCACCATGGTCAGCATATTGTCAGACACTAGGATAGCTAGTCACTGGGATAGCATTCTTCAGATTTTGTTTCATTCATCCTCCTTCCTTGAAAAGAGAGTAATGTCATTCCTCATTGATGAGGAACTGGAGTATGGAGAAGCAACTCACCAATAGCCACACAGTCCACAGTCCCTTGTCCCAAATGCCATAGCCAGGTATCTGCTATATTTAAGCAGTGAAACTTGCAGATAGTCACCTCTTTTATGAGCAGCCTCAAAATGGTGTAGATGAAGTTTAGCTGACAGCTTATGACAATATCAGTCTTAAGAGATTTTTAGAATTTGAAATTTTAGGGAAGGAGGCTAGACCCTTGGTCAGTAATGGACTCCAGGAGCTATTGTCCACAATTACTTGCTGCTTCTGCCATTTGAAAGGACTAGCATCAGCTGCTTCCTCCCAAGCCCTTGAGTCTTTGGATCCCCTGTGCCAGTCACTTGACTAATTCTGGGCCTCATTCTTTGCCATGAGAAGAGAGAACTGCAGCTACTTTAAAGAGTTGGCAGGAGGCTTGTTCTGGACCAGGTTTTTTTTTTTAGGGCCAGGATAAGACAAGCAAGACCTGTGGTCTTGAGCTCATAAGTCAGTATGGTGATCTTTTGGGTACAGGGACTAGAGAGGACTCCCTGACCCACCCCTTCTTACACTTCATCCTGTAGGAGCAAGACTGCTTGTATTTGGTTTGAGAGAAGTTGGTCTGGTTCTTATCCCTCAGCTCTGAAAGACATGGAGGCTTTCTGGGCCACTAGAGTGAGGCAGCCACTCCAAGAATCTGAGTATTCTCTTTTCTTATCCACCCGCCCTTTCCCAAAGGCAGAAAGCTCTTGGTGCTGTCTGTTCAGGAGGAGGTATGGATCCCCCAGACTCTGTGGCTTCTCACTTATAGTCCTCCAGAACCTGTCTGAACCCTTACAGTCAGATTCAGCCATCCCATTTGCCCTTTCTGAGCCTTTGAACCTTATATCACAGACAACTGGAACTCATTCTGTCCCATACTGGGACTGTCTTCGTGATACCTCCCCTTCCCCATTCAAAAAAAAAAAATTGAAGCCAGGCGCTAGTGGCTCACACCTGTAATCCTAGCTACTCAGGAGGATCATGGTTCAAAACCAGCCCAGGCAATCTTGAAGAAACCCATCACCAAAAAAGGGCTGGTGGAGTGGCTTAAGGTGTAGGCCCTGAGTTCAAACCCAGTACCACACACACACTTTGATTCCCCACATTCCTTATTTCATTAAGTCCAGGGGATTTTACCTTTGATGTAGTACTTGAGTCTGTCAACCTTCTCCATCTGACTTTGACCTGGTCTAGGTCCCTAGTGCTCATCCAGAACCAGGGCAGCCATTCTTTAGGATGCACATGTCTAGTCTTGCTTATAGATATGACAAGTTGGCCGGTGATGTAGCTCAATGGTAGAATGCTTGCCTAGCATGTGTAAGGCCAATCTCTGGCCGCTGAGCTGGGTTGTTTATAAATATGTCGTTCCCAATCACAAGGGAATCAGGGACTGCAAAAGGTGAGGACAGTTGGTCAGTATTGGATCCAGAAGACATGGGGCCTGCATCCTGTAGTACACACAGAAGTCTTAACATGTCAGATCAAAATGGGAGGCCCTGGTTTCCACAGATGGGACTTCCCTACAAGCCCTGGGCCTCTCTGAGAAAGGATCTCCTAACAAGCAGACCCTTCCTACCACTTTCCTGCAGCATATCGACAAAGTCTTCAAACATAAGGACCTACAGCAGCAGCTGGTGGATGCCAAGCTCCAGCAGGCCCAGGAGATGCTGAAGGAGGCAGAGGAGCGGCACCAGCGGGAAAAGGACTTTGTGAGGCTCATGCTTCAGAGCTGGGGATGGGGGGAAGGAGGGCTGGGTTCTGGCTTAGCTCAGGGTTTAGTTTATATGTATAGGAGATGTTCTGCCTAGCCAGTCAGTCCACTGCTTGTCCAAATAGCAGTTTGACAGCCTCAGTGGGTTTGGTACTTTGGCATACAGAGGGCAAACATAAGTTAGGTGCCTGTGGCTCATGACTGTAATCCTAGATACTTGGAATCTGAAAGATCAGGAAGATTGCAGTTTGAAGCCAGCCCCAGCAAGTAATTCATGAGACCTCCATCTCCAAAATAACCACAGCAAAATGGGCTAGAGGTGTGGCACAAGTGGTAGGGCACATACTTTACAAGCATGGAGCCTTGAGTTCAAACCCCAATCCCACCAAAAAATAAAAAGAAGGCCAAATACAGCCCCTGGGGGCTTCTGACAGGGTCGCGGTCCTGTCTTGGAAACAGCTCCTGAAAGAGGCAGTGGAGTCCCAAAGGATGTGCGAGCTGATGAAGCAGCAGGAGACCCACCTGAAGCAGCAGGTGAGACTGGAACCTGATGAGCCTTCAAGATCCCTTGCCGTGGGCCCCACCCATCTTGGAATAAAGCAAGACACTAATTCTGGGGCTGACCCTGCCCCACCTGCTGTGTGTTTAGCATCTGTATGAATGGTGCTCAGGTGGCTATGTGAGCTCATATGACTTCATTCCTACCTCAGGAGTGTTTTGTTTTTTTCAGGCAATGGGGACAGAAGAGTTGTTTTTAGTTTTTAAGAGGCAGGGTCTTGCTGGGCACTGGTGACTCACACCTGTAATCCTAGCTACTCAGAAGGTAGACATCAGGAAGATCACTGTTCAGAGCCAACCCAAGCAAATAATTCACAAGACCCTTTCTTGGAAAAAAAACATCACAAAGGGCTGGTGGACTCAAGGTGTAGGCCCTGAGTTCAACCCAAAACTCAAAAAGAAAAAAAAAAAAAAAAAAAAAAAGGCAATGTCTTAGTTTGTTGAAGTCATCCCGAATCCTATTTTCCAGGCTTAGCATTTTGGATTATATCCTTAAAAATACACTGATTAGGTTTTGTTTTACTGGAAAATGGTATCTCAATAGACCAATGACTCAACATGCTAAGGAGATGTCTGAGTGAGTTGACCTGAAGTACCTTTACTAGAAGCCCAGTCTAACCTGTAGGCTTCTTTCTCACCCAGCTGGCCCTGTACACAGAGAAGTTTGAGGAGTTCCAGAACACTCTTTCCAAAAGCAGCGAGGTATTCACCACATTCAAACAGGAGATGGAAAAGGTAATGGTGGTTGAGGCCAGGTGTGGCTGCAGGGGAACAACCACTTCATTCAGAATTGAACATGGGATCTGCTTTCAAAAAGCCACCACCTAGGGTAGCTCACCAGAGCTGTACACAGTATCTGGGATTAGTATCAAAGGGGGCCATTAGAGGGAATCAAAACCTTTTCTCCTGGCGAAGGGGTGGTCTTGTCATTCTTATTATCAGAGGCATACATTGGTTAGGTTTGGTTTGGTTTGGTTTGTTTCAGTGCTAGGGCCTATGCATGCTTAGCATAGCACTCAACTACTGAGTTACACTTCCAACCCCAATGGTGGATTTTTAACTTGAGACTTTCTGGTGGCAAACTGGCACAGACATGATGATCACCTTGAAGACAAAGATGCACAGACAGCCCTGCTCTGACTGTTTTCCTTCATCTGTTATGTAACACAGATGACTAAGAAGATCAAGAAGCTTGAGAAAGAAACCACCATGTACCGGTCTCGGTGGGAGAGCAGCAACAAGGCCCTGCTTGAAATGGCTGAAGAGGTGAGTAGAGGGTGGCTGGGCTGGGGATAAGGGTGCAATTGTGGTGTGTCAGGCTCTTTCCTCTCCCTTCTCCCACTCAGTGACACTGAAGTGGACCTGAGATTCCCAGATCTGTCCAAAGGCAGTGCCAGCCTCCCATGGGAGGGGGGCGGTCCTGTGGTAGATCTGCAGTGAACCCAAGGGAGCAAATGAAAGAAGGGGTTCAAGGAGCACAAGAAAAATAGGTCTCCCAACTACACGTGTGCAGCTCATGTGCAGAACAATGTAAATACTTTGTGACTTCATGACCTGCAATGTAGAAGAAAGGAACTGCAAGCCAGAGTGTCAAAATGGGTTGTTGTCACCTAGTTCTTTGAACATTATTTTGAAACCTGAGGTTGGTGTTAGTATCCTGGGTTTTTTTGTTGTTGGCAGTACTGGGATTTTTTTTTTTTTTTTTTTTTTTTTTTTGGTCTGGTACTGGGGTTTGAACTCAGGACCTATTCCTTGAGCCATTCCACCAGCCTTTTTTTTTTTTTTTTTTTTTTTTAAGATGGGGCTTTTTCAAGACAGGGTCTCACGAACTATTTGCCTTGGCTGGCTTTGAACCTTAGTCTCCTGATCTCTACCTCCTGAGTAGCTAGGATTACAGGCATGAGCCATCAGTGCCCAGCTGGTACTGGGATTTAAACTCAGGGCCTCAGGCTTGCTAGGCAGGCACTCTTAACACTCTGCCAGCCCTGTTTTCTATTGGGTAGTTTGGAGATAGGGTCTTCTGAACTATTTTCCCAGGGCTAGCTTTGAACCTCAGTCCTCCTGATCGCTGCCTCCTGAGTAAGTAGAATTACACTGGCACCTAGTTTAGTGTCCTGTTTTGCAGGTGAGATAGTCTCAGAAGCCATGTTCTTTGCCATGGTCATCTGGTAGCTGTCTTGTCTGACCTCCAAGATGTTCCCCTTGTCTGTACTACACTGCCCCCAGTTGATAGTCAAGTCATGCCATAAACCAAGAGACCAGCTTTTGAATGGAGACTGCTCCCAACCTTGTTGAAATGAGTGTTTCCTACTGAGTGTGGTTTTACGTCAGGGTTTGCTGGGAAACCTGGCACTGAAAGTTCCGTTTCTCTCCCCAGAAAACACTCCGGGACAAAGAGCTAGAAGGCCTGCAGGTAAAAATCCAACGGCTGGAGAAGCTGTGCCGGGCGCTGCAGACAGAGCGCAATGACCTGAACAAGAGGGTACAGGACCTGAGTGCTGGTGGTCAAGGCCCTCTCACTGACAATGGCCCTGAGCAGAAGCCGGAGGCTGCTTCTGTCTCCAAGGAGCAGGGTGGTGAGGGGCCTGGGGCTCAAGCACCCAGCTCCCCAAGTTTCACAGAAGCTTCTGGCTGCCCAGGAGCTCAAAGCACAGAAGCTTTAGGCCAAACAGGGCCCCAGGAGCCCGCCTCTGCCACTGCCACTGCCTAGAGATCCTGGTGCTTGGGGCGTGCTGGGAAGGGAGCAGCAGCCCAGCCAGGCCTGGCCCATACAGCTCCCATGCTGAGCAGCCCAGTGCTGAGGCCAGGATGTTTGGCATCTGGCACTTTGCAGTTTTGGATTTTGTGGGTCAGTTTAACATACATGGGGCATATGTGCAAGGCCTCATACAGTTACATCTGTAAGTGTACAGTGGGCTTGCACTGAGGGTGGGTGTACAGATGAAGTCAGTGGCTCCTCTGTGAGCTGAAGTCTTACAGAAGAGGTGTCATCTATAGCTGCTATCACAGTGAGCTAGCAGGTCAAGTGACTTGAGTATTTACTTGCCTGATTTGGAACTTATACCCCTCCCAGCCCTTCAGAGCTCATGACAAGTAATACACCCAGGCCTGGACTCTATTTTTTGTGAGCAGGACTGGGACAGTTCATGCTCTTTTAGCTTCCCTGGAGGCTTCATTGCTTCTCTTGGCCTGAGAACAATGACTGGGCAGAGCTTTGAGGTAGTACTTGATGCTGATGGTTGAGCTGCTTTCCTGCCTAGGACAAGGAACCTGGAGGCTGTTTCTGTATGGGATGATATGATGACCAGGAGCCCTTTGGGCACCACTTCCCCTGCCCTCTGGTAGTACCAGGACCAGGCCAATGTTGCTTCTCAGTAGCCTTATCATTCACAGGTGCCTCTCTAGCCTGCACAAATGATTGACAAGAGATCACCCAAAGGATTCTTTCTGAAGGTTTTAGTTTTGCATGTGACAGTTCATATTGAGGATCTTCTAAGAAAGGAAGAGGGGTGCTATAGCAGTGGTCCCAGGTGCCTGGCCTCCAGTGCCCTACCCCTCACCAACTCAGCTGGCTCCTCTGCCATGCTAGTGCTGAGGTTTCCTATTTGGGAACATCAGATTATTAAGAGAAAAGAAAGGGCTTCTGATGGTTTTGGCATCAAGCTTGCCTATATGTTTCAATCCTGGGAGGCCACTACTGGTTCCCATCACCACCATCACCATGCATTTTTCTGGGCCCCAGGTCCAGATGCCCCCTTAGCTTTATGGGTCTGTTTTTGATTCTTTCCCACCCCCACCCAAATGGGCAGTCCTTGAGATTTTTCCCAGGTGACTACTTTGCCCAAAAAACAAGTTCTCCTTGGGAATCCACTTCTAATGTTGAAGCTCCCAGGCAGGGCGCTGAAAGGTAAAGAATGAATTTCAACTATAGACTTGGCCCAGGAAATCCACAAAGTGACTCCAGCATTTGTGTTGCCCATCCCATCACTCCCTTCTACATACTATGTTTTATATTTTATGTTTAGCAGCTCTGTATGCTAAAAGTTCTGGTTTCACACTTGCCATAGTTTTGGCCAGTCTGCACAGAGTAATTTTCTGGGGCAACAGGATGAGTTTTGGAAGCAAGCCTGTGCTGGGCTAGAGGTACAGCCCCATCTATAGCTGAGCCTCAGCTTCAGCAAGCTCAGGGAGCCACAAACCAAGCTATGGTGGGTGGGGTTTTGCTTTTGTTGAACTAGCTCATTGTCCTGCAAGTCCCTTTATCTCCCACAACTCACCCTTAAATTCCCCAGATAAATAGGTTCACGAAGAATGTTATGGATTGTGTTGTGACTTAGACCAGAAATGGCAAACTGATTCCCTCCACTCCCTTGTCCCAGGCAGGTGTCACTGATCTGCTTTAGAGGGCTTTCTGTTAGCCTGGTATATCCTTAACTCAAGATACCCCAGCAGCAGTTTGAATGTTGGGACTTCTTTGCCATGCCTGGTTGAGATCCGCACTCCTGTGTATTTCTTCCCTTCTTCCAAATCCCTGTATCTGGCATGATCCCTGCCTCTTTCCTGCTCCGGTAAAGCCGCCTTCCTCCTCCTGTTTCTGTGCCAGATGGAGGTACACAAACTGTTAACTCCACAGGATTTGCCAGATCATAGAGATGCAGGGAGGAGGCAGAGAGATCTGCCTGCCCCTTTGGAGAAAGTGGAAAAGCCTACAATGACTCGTAATTGTCTGCCTCGCTTCAGCTACCTCTTAAAGCCCATGGGGAGTTGGGGCTATTGGATCCCAGTGTGTGGGATGGGAGGCTACAGTGCTCAGGTGGCCTAAGACCAGGTGCAACCTTGCTCTAGCTTCATCCATTTCTAGGCACCCAGACCCATCTATAAATGGGAGTCTTTCTCTTCCTGTCCATTGACCGAATCTTACCAATCACTACAGCTGCTCTGCTTTCCAAAGTCCGCCCAGGATCCTGGGCCAGATGCAGGGGAGGTGGCCTATCTGTGAGTGAGGGCCAGTGCCTTCCTCACCCAGGTGAGTCCCATACACATGACCTCAGTTTTAGGACCAATAGCTGTGTTGGTTTCTTAGATTGTTAGCTTTTCCTCCAGGGGACCACAGTAGGTAAGGCTCAGAGCCCAGGGACCTTGGCTCTGCCAACAGTTAACTTGTATTTAGGACCTTGTTCAGTTGATAGCTTCATGCACACCGTGTCCGCAGCACTTTTTGTCTTATTTTCCATGAGGTTTTTGGACCATGGGCTGAGCTCAGGCACTTTCTGTAAGAATGTTATTTCTGTAAAGATGGTTATTTAACCCTCTTCCACCCCCATTGTGGTGGCCCTGCTGAGTGCTGCCCCAGCACTCCCACCTTGCACAGTACAGAGGTGGTCATCCTGGACAGCCAAGCACCTGCCTGCCCCTCTTTGCCCTGCTTGGGAGTGGAGGGCTGCTTCTGTCCCTGTAACTTACCACCCAACCTGGCCACCCAGACTTGTTTGAAACTGTGCTGATAGCTTTTTTTGTCCCCTTTTGGTATTCACAACAGCCAGGGACTTGATATTGATGTATTTTACACCACATTAAATAAAGAGTCTGTTGCCTTACTTGTTTTGCTCCTGACCTGTGTGGTCATTTGATACTTTTGAATCCATTCAGTCTCCTCCATTGTCACTGGCTTCTGTGGATCTGCTACAAAGTGGCCATGACTGTACCCTGACATCCTGCATCTTCCAGAATAATCTGCCTTCCAGTAGTCACCACAAGCTCAAGACATTGACTGACTTGGCATGTTTGGCAAGGTGCTTACAAACATAAGAGTGTCAGAGGATTTCTTTCACTAAAAAAAAAAAAAAAAAAGCCCTGTGTGATGGTTCAGGCATGAAATCCCAGCACTGGGGAGCAGAGGCAGGATTGAGTTTAAGGGCATACCTAGACCTTGTTTGTTTTAAATAATCCCTGGCCTTGGGTCACAGGCTAGTGAGGGGAGAGGTACTTTTAGGGAACAGGAGACCCTGCTAAATGGCAGACAGTATAACAACTTCACTTAATGTGATAGTTCACCTGGGAATGCAGGAGCTCAGGAGAGTGCTGAAGGAAAAGTCTGGGGCCCAGAACTGCTGTATCAGGGAATTTGAGCCAGATCTACAGAGGAAGGAGGACACTGAAAGTTAGGGATAGGCCATCTCAGGCCCAGATTTAACTGGGTGGGCACTGTCATCACTGCTATGGGTCTGTGCCATGGGTAGCTTACCTTGGCACTGGCCCAACCCAAGGGGATATGCAAGCATCTCCAGGTTACTTTGGTTTTAGGCAAAGTTTTGTTTGTTTTTTTGGGGTTTTTTTGCTGGGTTTTGGTGGGATTGGGGTTTGAACTCAGAGCCTGGCACTTGCAAAGCAGGCACTCCACTGCTTTAGCCACACCTGTAGTCCATTTTGCCTCGGGTGGTCTTGAACCATGATCAAGTAGCTAGGAGCTCAGGCGTGAGCCACCAGCACCCCACTAAGACTACATTCTCGCTATGCTTGATGGTGTACATCTGCAATCCCAGCACCCAGAAGGCTGAAGCATTAAGATCTTGATTTTGAGGCCAGCCTGGGTTACATAGAGCCTATCTTAAAAAAAAAAAAAAAAAAAAATTCTCACCAGGCACTGATGACTTGAGCTTGTAATCTTAGCTATTTAGGAGGCTGAGATCAGGAAGATGAAGGTTCCAGGCCAGCCAGGGCAAATGGTTTGTGAAACTCCATCTCCAAAATAACCAGAGCAAAATAGACTGGAGGCATGGCTCAAGTTGTAGAGTGCCTGCTTTGCAAGTGTGAATCCTTGAGTTCAAACCCCAGTCCACCAAAAGTCAAAATTCTTCATTCAGCCAGTTTCTTAATCTGTTTACTCACTGGAGATTAAGCTGAAGCTCCTATATGGGTGATGTCCTGCTGATGGCCTCACCCAGCACCCTAATCCTGTGGGCCCTAGATTGGTTAGGCACAAAGGATGGTATGAGGTGAGTGCTCAACAAATGGCAAGGGCAACCTAGGTGCCTTTTACTCAGTGCCTCTGCAGGTAGATGGGTCCACCCACTCACTGGCTATGACAGTCTTTGCAGAGCCTCTGCCCCTTCTAGCCAGGGTCCTGATGGATTGTAATGTTCTGTGCCCATCACATTGGTTCCAAAGATCCCCTGGAGGGGTGAGGGGATACCGTCCCAACTCTGGGAACTTAGAAGCAACGCAGCTCTGAAGAGGCTTCTGGATCCCCAAGGAAACTGCTAAGCATGGGAACCCCAGGGGTGCTCCTGGACCCTCTGCCACTTTGTTGGAGGAGCTGTGGCACCAATATAGCATCTCTGGTAGGGGAAGAAAACTACATCGCTGTTGTGCTCCTTCCATCTGAACCCCCACTATTGAAAGTCCTGAGTTAGTGTTCCCCTTTCTAGCACACGCAGTCTGGGCGTTGGAAGCACCAGGTAGAGAACTGTGCCTCATTTTCCCTCTCAGCCAGAGGCCCAGGCCAAGGAAGCTGCTCCTGCCCAGAGGCAAAGGTGGGCGGGACAGCCGTGTCTCTTGCCCTGGGACAGTCCTTTTGAGCCTGCTGGGTAGTCTGGCCAAGGATGAGGCACCACGTGCTGCTCTGGGGGCCTGAGCCAGGACCGGCTGCCAGATCTTTAAATAGCTGCTACACTGATCCAGCCTCCAGGGCAGCACCAGCAGCACGCAGCCAGCCTCCTCCTGGCACTCAAGGTTTCCCTGTGGTCACTGGAGTCAGGTACCAGGGAATCTTGTCTTCCTCTGTCCTGGTGCTCCCCACACTTGTCTCCTAAGTCTGGGGGGGGGGTCCTGTCACTTCATCAGCAAGGAGTGGGTGAGAATATTGCTCAGGAATGACTACAGGACAATGACAATTATAATTCAGGGTTGTCCTGAGGATTAAATGGATACATGGTTGTCTTCGCTCATTTATTCTAGCTGCTGACATTCATTCAGCTATCTCTCTCTCTCTCTCTCCCCTACCCTCCCTCCCTCCCTCTCCCTCTCTTCCTCTCCTCTTTCCCCCTCCTCTTCCCCTCTCTTGTCTTCCTCTCTATCCACCCCTGGCTCTTTTTCCTTTCTCCTGAAAAGCTATACCTTCCCTCCAAAAGTGACGGAAAGGAAAGCCAACAGGGTCACCTTAGTTCAGGAGGGAGGTAAGGTGAGTGAGAGGAACAGCTTAGTCAACGTGGGGACGCTCCTCCCACCATGCGCCATCCCGAGCTCCAGACAAAGCCACTTTCTCTTTAAATGCAAATCACCTCCGCCCGCTCAGCCCCTCGGCCGCGTTCCCGGGAGGAGAGTGCGCGGGGCCGAAGGAGCTTGCAGCGGAGCCGCACTCCAGACCCCAGACCTCCAGGTCAGTAACCCCCAGGGGGAGTGACGCGGGCAGGGGCGGGGTGTCGTGTCTGACGCTCGGGCTCCCATCCCGGCTCCGGGCTCCCGAGCTTAGTTTTACCTTGGAGCGTGGGAAACGGACTCGGAGTTGCCCGGCCGCTCCAGGGGAGCAGGGACTCCTACTCCAGTTCTATCAAGCTGCTGCTGGGAGAGGCAGAAGATGCGCCCCTGTCTCCCTTCCACCACGCCCCAGACCCATTCCGTGCCAGCCATGTGCCAGTTTAAACGTCTAATGCCCCGCCCCACCGCCACCGCCCTCAGTGTGGTCAGGGTTGGTGGCAGCAATCTGGAACGAGCCCCCTGGAGAGGAATCCGGCAGAACTGAGGCTTGGTGGTGGGACTGGACGGGAAGCCGGCTAAGCTGTGCCAGCCACCGGCGCAGCTATTGTTGGGAGGCCCAGGCAGCTAGCTGCTTGACCACCCACCCCAGAGACTTTCTGCTTGGAAAAGGTGAAGCTGCCTGAGGCTGTCCCAGGGAACTTCTGGGAGTCCCTGGCGTCTGCAGTTGAATGTAGGGTGGAAGAGGAGATGCTACTGTCTAAAGGGGGTCCAAATGAGCCCCTCCCCTGTGCTTCCTGCTTCTGTCCATACCGGTGGCTACTGCTTGATACTGGGGTCTTCCCAGGCGCCCGCACCCTCACTTTGGTCAAGTCTTAGGCTGACAGAGTTGGTCAGCATCTGCCCAGGCAGTTGATAAACAGAATGGGGCCCTAAACCTAATCTGGGCTTTAGCCAGCTGGCATCCACCGGGTCTCCCCCTGCGTTTCCTCTCCAGCCCCGCCCTATGGGCCTCAGGGACAGAATTCCTGTTTGGTCTAGCCCTTTCAGGAAGGGACTAGGCTTTCCCAAAGAATGGGGCTTAGGGTGGGCATTGGAAGGTCCTTCAGATGCACATCCCAGCAGCAGGCACTGGCATCTGACCCTATTACAGAAGGGACAGACACTGACTGTTGTGAGAGAACAAGCTCAAAGGTTCCAGGGCCCTTCCTATTAAATAGAGTCCCCCTCCCACGCGAAGGCCCTTCCTTTGCAGCTCTCAGGGGCTGCTGAGTGAAGGGACAACTTAATCCCTCAATATCTTCATAGGGTGGCCTCCTTCCCAGACCTAAGGCCCAGCCAGCACCCAATGGATGACAAAAAGAAGAAACGGAGCCCCAAGCCTTGCTTGACCCAGCCAGCCCAGGCCCCAGGCACACTAAGGAGAGTCCCTGTGCCCACCAGCCACAGTGGCTCCTTAGCCCTGGGACTCCCTCATCTGCCGTCCCCCAAGCAGCGAGCCAAATTCAAGAGGTAGGTACAGAGGAAAGCAGGGCAAGGAGGGAGGTCCCCCAACTCTGGAAGGTAAGGGAGCCTTCCGCCTTTAGCTACTAAGCAATAATTGATGCCTTATCTGTAGCTGGCCCCAGCTGGTCCCTGATCCTCAAGTACTTGGGGAAAATGCCAGGTGGGTCACACCTCAGTGTGAGGCCCTACCTGGGAGCAATCCACAAGGAAGTGAAAGTCAGCAGAGCCTGCTGGTTGCTTTGAAAAGGGAAGAATGTTCTAGGCTGAGGCTGGTGGAGTGACTCCAGGGTAGAGCGCCTGCCTAGCAAGTATGAGGTCCTGAGTTCAAACTCCAATACCGCCAAAAAAAAAAAAAAAAAGTTCTAGGCTGAGAGGCTTGCTTGGTATAAAAATGGAAGAAAGGTATTGGCTCCAGGAACCACAGGTGGTTTGGGGCCTTGGAGTGTCATGGAACAAGAAATGATGAGGGATACCTGGGGGCACAATTTGAATTCTCTGAACTTTTTTAAATGATTGGTACTTTGCAAGTACCAAATACAATGTGTCTTTTTTCAATTGTTCCCAATAAAAACTGTTTCCCTGGGGCTTTGCATACCACCTGCCTGAGAGGCAGCTCAGGGCTGGAGAGAACAGTAAGAAATGCAACTGGAGAGGAAGGCCAGGCTCACAAGGGCATTCAGTGTGATCCTGAGGAGATGAAAAATTCAACAGTTTTTAGAAGAGGGGCAGAAAGATTTTTTGAGAGAGGTAAGATAGTTTTGGTGGCAACTCTCCCCAAATTTGGAGCAACTCTCCCCAAATTTACTGAAGACCAAGGACAAGTGATTCAACCGAGTCACAGGAGGATAAGAGAGAAGCCCTTGCAGGCATGGCTCTGGCTGTGCCATTAGTGCAGATTTCTTTTTGAAATCTTACATCCTCCACCTCCACTCAATTCTTCCCCTCTACCCATAGTGGTGTCCAGGGCAGGGCTACAGCAAACGTCCTTTTGTATTGGGAAGTGGATGGGCAGATGAATTAGGGCATAGACAGATGGTGCAAGAGATCCTGGCTGTCCCCCACTCATGACCATGGTCATGTCCATCCCACCCAGAGTAGGCAAGGAAAAATGCCGCCCGGTGCTGGCCGGAGGTGGGGGTGGCTCTGCAGGCACACCCCTGCAGCACTCCTTCCTGACTGAGGTGACTGATGTCTATGAGATGGAGGGAGGACTGCTGAATCTGCTCAATGATTTCCACTCAGGCCGGCTGCAGGCCTTCGGTGAGTCTTGGGGTTGGGTGGAGAAAGGCTGGAGTTGGGGCTGGAGTTTGTAGTCTCTGGGGTGTGGCTGGGACCAGCATCCCAGGCTGGTTCCCAGGGCTCAGACAGTGGCTATCCAGGGAAGGAATGCTCCTTTGAGCAGCTGGAGCATGTGCGGGAGATGCAGGAGAAGCTGGCCCGGCTGCACTTCAGCCTGGACGTGTGTGGGGAGGAGGAAGACGAGGAAGAGGAAGAGGATGGGGTCGCTGAGGGGTTGCCTGAGGAGCAGAAGAAGACGATGGCAGACCGCAACCTGGACCAGCTGCTTAGCAATGTAGGTCATGAAGCTGGGTGCTTTGGATCCCAGGGGCACAAGGCGTGGGGGAGGTACATGCTCCAGAGGTCATTCCTGGCTCCCACTGAAAAGGTAGGGGTGCATGGACCCAAGAGCTTGTGAGCACCTCAAACTCTACAGGAAGAGGGCCCCTAGAGCATTTGGGGTTTATTCTGATCCCCCTCCTGATAGAACCTTCCTTTTCTCTCTGTTGATAGCTGGAAGATCTCAGTAATTCCATGTATCCTTTCCAAGGGACCTGACAGGGTACAGGTGTCTCCCAGTGAGGGAAGGATGAGAGATGAGATGAGGTGAGCTTCCTCCTTCCCACCTTCCTCCAGGAATATTCGCTCATAACCAACATCCCCACCCCTGCAGTCACAAACTGCCCCCACCCAGGTAGAGGAATATAGAAACAATTTCCCAAATAGTAGGAGAAAGGTGGATACAAGGAATATGTTTTTCCTACTGATCAAAATCTTTGCAGTACTTTAGCTGACACCAATACATGGCAAAGCTTTTCTGATGTCCTTCCACCCTTTCAGCATTGGATTTTTTTTTTTTCCTAATTTAGACTATGTCCTCATTTAGTCCTGTGAGGAAAAAAAAAAGGTCTCCCTCTCTCTGATCACCCTCCCCCCATCTACAGTGTTGCTTTACTGTCCAACTCGGATTTGGATGAAAAGAGGTGCAAGTGACCTAGCAAGAAAAGCAGGCAGGGTGGGCTGGAGTGTAGCTCAGTGGTAAGGGCGCATGCTTGGCATGCATGAGCGCCAGGATTCAAACCCCAGCACCCGCCAGGATTCAATCCCCAGCACCCCCACAAAAAAGGTCAGGGTGGTACTGCAACCCAGACCGGCCCTCTGCACGGCTGGGAAACCAAGTTTGTGCTGTACTGGGAGACAGATGGAGGACTGGAGGCCAGAGCGTCACAAGTCACAATCCTTGACTGGCACAGACAGAAGCTGCACCTGGCCGAGAATGCTGAGCCTCAGGAGCAGTCAGCTGCGTAGTTCTCGGACCCAGGCCCAGACTGGCTCTCTCAATCCCTCCAACTGTGACTTTATATGAACTCGGGAGAGTATTCCACAGCCCCCTAGGTGCTATGGGGGTGGGGGGCACTGGATGGAATTAAACCAAAAAGAAAGCAAGCAGCTCCGTGTGGTCCTTGCGCCTTTCCTCGCGGCTCACTAGGCTGGGAGGCCGGGACTAGAGCATGGTTGCCGTGGAGACGACGGGGCAGGGCGCCGCATCTGCGCATGCTCAGGAAAGGCACCGCCCAATGACGCGCTGCGCAGGCCCAGCGCACGGTTGACCGGCCGGGCGGTTGGTGTACATGGAGTCGGAGTTAGTTCGGAAAGTGTCAGCGCTGCAGGTTCGTGTGTGTGTCTGTGTCTGTGTCTGTGTGTCTGTCCTGGAGTCTCGGCCTGGGTCCTTAGAGCTAGATGAGGATGTCACGTTCAGTCCCCTTTCTTTGTGCCAACCTCCAGAAATGCCTCCCTCCCCCGCACCACCGCACTGAACAAAGCCAAGATCCACGGGTTTCCCTAAGCGCCCACCTCCTGTCACTCAAAAGATCAGAAGAAGAGCCTTAAAACTAAAGCGAGGAGGAGGGTCCAGCCCAGCATCCTCCCTTGAACTCCCAGAGCCCCAGCGCAACTGTCACCCATCCTTTCCCCTTGCAGACTCCGGATTCTCCAGGAGAATCCTCCAAGATGCCTCCTTTCTTAAAGTGGTAAGGGCCTTCTCTCCCCTGTTCACACCAGGCCTGCGTCCGGGGCTTTTTGGTCCGACGCCAGTTCCAGAGCCTGCGAGCTGAGTATGAGGCGATTGTACGAGAGATCGAGGGTGACCTGGGCACACTTCAGTGGACTGAGGGCTGGATTCCCAGACCCCGATTTCTCCCAGAGGTAGTGTGCACCCCAGGGGGACAAGGGAAGGGGAAGCAGGAAGTGGCAGGGGAAGAGCTCACTCTTCCTGCAGACAAGCCTCTGTCACTGGGAGAGGCAGCATACTCACTTCACACCCCAGTCTTCAAACCTACCCACTTGTCTGCTAGATTTTGGCACCCAGTTATGTGCAGAGATCTAGCCCTGGGACTCTCATACCTCTGTGATTTCAGAAGGCAAAATCCCATCATTCTTGGAAAGCAGGAGAGAAGGTACAAAATCCAGAGCAGGAACTATGGAGCCACTTCCCCTGTAAGGATGCTGAGAAAGAGTCTATCTGGGAGGAGATGGTACTGAAGTCAGGAGAGAGTTTATCAAACCCAGGCAGTCGTCCTCCCTGCAGAGATGACAACCCCTGGCCTCAGGCGGAGCAGAACAGGAAAACTAGGAAACACAACCAAGAGGAGACCAGAGACATCTCCAGGAAGGAGAACCCAGGTACCTCATACCTCTGCCTAGATCAAGGCAAGACCCTGGCCCTCTCTGCGCCTTAGTCATCCATCTGAAAAATGAAAGGGATGTGCTAGATAAGTTGCAACCCTTTCTTCCCTCTCTCTTTGCCTGGTTGGAGGAAACACATGGGTGGGCAGTGAGGGATTACCAGGGTGTAGGGCTAGACCAATTCCTAGTGTCTACCCCTCAAGGCATTCTCCTTTCTTTCTTCCCTCCTTCAAAGAAGCTACAGATCCAAGATTGTCCCACAGCCAGGATGAACTCCAGGAGCTCCAGTACCACCGCAACCACTTGGCCATGGAACTGTTGTGGCTACAACAGGCCATCAACAGCAGAAAAGAGGTTAGGCACTAACTTGGAGTTCTTCCTGAATGGGTTAATGGTAGGGATTGGGGAGAGGCCTCCTGCCATGCCTGCATGGTACAGTATCTGTTCTCTCCCAACAGTATCTAATTCTCAAACAAACACTGAGATCCCCAGAGGCCAGACCAGACAAAAGCCCAGTGTGTGTCCAGAACATGGAGAACAGGTCTGTGAGAAGGCCTGGTCACAACCAAGCCCACTGCTGGAGGACCAAATCTTCAGAGATAGGATCAATGGAGAGCTAGACTATGACTCCTGCCAAAGGAGCAAATCACAATGCTATAAAACCCCAGAAAGTCTGACCACTGCAGTCAAAACCACTGTTGGAGCAAAGGATGAGGAACGATGCTATAGGAGGGCTGGACCACAGCTACCCATACCATCACCCCACCAGGCTGGAGGGGATAGGTTCACCAAAGTACCAGATCATGGTGGATAAACCTTTAAAGGGACCTGCCTGCAGCACATGAAACTCCTGGAGGACCAGATCCCTGGAAACCTTAAACACAGGAGCCCGTTACAGAAAGGCCAGGACACAGCTGCCCATCCTCTGTGAGGATCCAAATATTGAGGACAGGACTCCCAGGTGGCCAACCACAAAGAGAATGACTGCCAAAGTGCCAGGCCACAGAGGACAGGCCTCTCAGAAGACCACAGGATTTGGGATGGAATCTTGGCAAGGCTAGAACATGGTAGCCTGGATCTCAGAAGGAAAAAACCACCCAAGGGCCAGATCCCCAATGCTAGAAGTCCCAGAGATGGAACCTCCAAGGAATTTAGTCATGAAGGATGGGGAAAACAGGACTTTTTTGTGGAGGGCATGTCTGCCACAGGATTAGACCAGACAGGAGAGGACCAGTGGAGGAGCAAGCTATGGAAAGCAAGACCGCCAGGCTGGAGCCAGGGGGATGCTCTGAAAGGGTGAGGAAAGTGGCCTTCATGCTGCCTCCCTGGTACCAGCTCTACATCCTGCCCTTGCTCCCATCGTGCCGTTGTGGCTACTGGGCCAAGAGGTGCTACAACAGAGAGTTGGCACAAATGCAGGGAAAATGATGGATGGCACCTTTTTATTCTCTGCATGTGGCTCAATCCAAAATTCAGATTAAGAAGCTCCCTAGAACCAGGCACCAGTGTAACATGCCTGTAATCTTAGCTCCTTGGGAGGCTGAGATCAGGAGAATCATGGTTCAAGGCCAATCCAGGCAAATAGTTCAGAAGACCCCATCTTCAAAATAACCAGAGCAAAAATGGACTGGAGGTGTGACTCAAGCAGTAGAGTGCCTATTTTGCAAGTGTGAAGCCCTGAGTTCAAACCCCAGTTCCCCCCACCCCCCAAAAAAAAAATTCCCTGAGGAAAGTAAAGTAAAGTGAGAACTTGGAGAATAAACGTTTTCCCTTGGATTCTGAGCTTTGCTCCTTTCATCTCCTGCCTCTGGCCAGGACAAACTGGGCTGTTCTGTTCATCTCCTGCTAGCATAGGGATTATTCCAAAGCCAACCTGGGAACCATGACCCGGGAGCAGAGACAGCCCTCCTCTTTGGGGAACAGCCCTCAAGCTGATCCCTCTTTTTTGTTTTTGTGGTAGTGGTGGGGAGCCTGCAGGCCATGTTGATACCTCTTGAGCTCAACTGTGGGCTTCAGAGTGTCCCAAGGCTCTGGAGAGGACTGAGACTATCTGTGTTTAAGTAGGCTCTCTGCTACTCCCTTTTATTGAGCTCTACGGTCTGCCTTAAAGTGATCATACCTATCCTGCAAAAAAGTGCTCTGACCAGAGGCTCTCCCTACCTTCCTGGGTGAGAGAACAGGACTCCACCTCTGGCATGACTCCAGGTCTGCCTTAGTTGCCTGGAAACAGCTTTGCGTCTCTGGCAGACAAACTATGGCAGGTAGCAGTCCAGCAGCCAAGAGAGTAGTGGTATACCGGAATGGGGACCCCTTCTCCCCAGGCCGCCAGCTGGTCGTGACCCAACGCCGCTACCCCACCATGGAGGTCTTCCTTTCTGAGGTGACATCAGCCATACAGGCCCCACTGGCTGTACGTGCTCTCTACACACCTTGTAACGGCCACCCTGTCACCAACCTGGCAGACCTACAGAATGGAGGGCAATATGTGGCTGCTGGCTTCGAACGATTCCACAAGCTTCAGTGAGTGGGTTGGGGCTGGTCAGAAAGCCTAAGGGAGGGAGGCAATACATTAGGAACAGTGTCTATCCAGTACTTACTATGTGGATACTAGGCTTTATACTTTTTCTCACGGAACCTGGGGGAAACTGTATCTCCACTATCTAGAGAACAGAAACACAGTGAAAACTTGCCTAAGACTACATGAGCAACAAATACTTGAGCTGCAGTTCTGTTAGTAAGGCTTATGCCCATCACAGCCTACAGGAAAGAGACCATTCTGCAGGTTGAACTTTTTTCCAAATTAGATTTCCTACCACCATCTCCAGACACACTCAATACATCCATCACTTTCTCCCTGTGAACTTAGACATCCCAAAGTCTCCTATTTAAGTAGCATCAACTCCCTCTCTAGGGTGGGCTATCTTCCAAAGTGAAAGAGGAATTTGAGATTTGAGTTTCCACCTCAGATCTGGCTCCCAAGTCCTGCTCTGAGCTCTCAGCTGAAGTTGCTTTATTAAAAGGTAAGGAGCAAGGGTTTGGGAGCTAGGCAAGACTTAGAATCTAGACTTGGTCACTTCACTTCTCTGAGTCTCATACAAAATGGAGATAAAACCACCTACTTCATGAATGTAAAATTTCTGGGACATGGTAGGATATTTAATATGCTCCTTGCTGTCCATTTTTAACCTTATGGTTTGTGTTTGAGACATGCCTGGATTTTCAGCCTGACTTAGCACCTGAGGAATCATAAGGCAGATTTAGGTGCCAACACATGTTTCTGGATTGAGAAAATTGAGAAGACCAGGGAAGCTGGGCCCTAGCCCCACATTCTGGCAGTTGCTGGGCTGTCAGTCTCAGGCTCCAGGATGATTGGGCCCAATATGTCCTTTCAGCTCTTTATCCCATGGAGGGAAGGATCCAGGTGGGAAGAGCAGCAAACGACAAGTGAGTCCTGAGGGAATCTGACCTCTGACCTCCCTCCCTTCCTGGGACTGCTACAGTCTGGTGTGGGAAGTCTGCCAGTTCCCTGAAGCACTCCATACCCACTGGAGACTGCTGCTATCCTTTCTGGGGTACAGGACTTCAAGACACTTGCCCCCCATTCCTGCCCCAGCCCTTCACTTATCTCCAGGGTGTGCTCCCTCAAAGGAAACACACATAGGGATGGGGTAGTTATCATGTTACCTGGGGGACCCTTTGGTAAAAGTTGTGTCCAGTCTCATCACTCTTTGACCCCTTTCCTGCCCAATGCTTGATTCCTTCCTGCTCACCCCACACCTTAACTCTCTCCTGATTTGGGGCCTGGTTTGGATTTCAGGATCCTCCTATGACTCACCACCCATGTGATGGGACCTTTGTACAGTGGATGCCTGCAGGTGCCCCCTGCTATATCCAGTAAGTACCAGTGTTAGGTAACCAGGGGTATTTCCACTTCAGTGAGACCATGAACATGGAGGCATGTTTGTTCCAGGTGCCACTGGTTACTGGTGGGAAGATTAAAAAATCCAACATGCTTGGTGGGCAAAAATGGATCAGTGGTTCTTGAACCCTCTTCTGGCCCCTGGACCTCCTTCCTCTCACATGTAGGGATTCTTAGGGACTTTCCTCCTTACCAGGCTGCCCTTTGTCTCAGTGTGTTCAGGAATGGGGACCTGCTAAGTCCCCCATTTAGTCTGAAGCTGTCCCAGGCTGCCATCCAGGACTGGGAAACTGTGTTGACGCTCCTGACTGAGAAAGCAAAGTTGCAGAGTGGGGCTGTGTGCAAGTAAGTATGGGATTGGGGAGGCCCACAAGGCCTCAAAGAGAGCCTCCCTACTGGTTTCAGCTATTCCCAAGCATGAAAAGGCCAAAGGAAAGCATACTCCTTCCAGGGGGACTTCTTCCAATGCTACTGGCCCAGCTCCCTGAGCCACACAGTGCAAAGTGACCAGAAGCAGTGGGCATCCTGTAGTAGTGGTACCTAACCCCTCACTGCCTGCTGAATATGAAGTGACATCTGGTCCATGAGCCTTTACCCTGTTCACCTCTCCCCCAGACTCTGCACCTTGGAGGGGCTCCCACTATCAGCAGGGACAGCTCTGGTGAGTGGCTGTCATTATGTGGCTGTGGGAGATGAAGAATTCAAGGCCCTCCCCTATCTGGAACTGCTGGTGCCCAGCCTCTCCCTGCCCAGGGGCTGCTGGTATGTATGTGGGAGGCAGAGGGTCACAGTGGGAGGGCCACAGGGTACTGCAGAGAATACTTTCCCACTCCATGTCCTCTGTCCATTACAAGCCTTTCCTTCTCTCTCTCTCTCTCTCAGTACTGGAGTTTGAACTCACGGTATACACCTTGAGCCACTCCACCAGTCCTTTTTTGTGATGGGTTTTTTCGAGACAGGGTCTCGTAAACTATTTGCCTGGGCTGGCTTTGACCACAATCCTCCTGATCTCTACCTCCTGAGTAGCTAGGATAACAGGTGTGAGCCACTGGCACCCAGCCATTACCTTTCCTTCTTTCATTGCAGGTATCCCCCGGACCTGAAGTGTAGGCCCCACAGGCAGGGGGTAGGTGGTACAGGGGCCACAGCTGGGGAAGGGGAGTACCTGGCTGAAAACTCTGACCTTATCTTACAGCATCCTCTCAATAATCTTGTGAAACAGATTATCCCCATTTTCCAGAGGTGGAAATGGAAGTTCAAATGAGTAAAGTGATTTGTTCAGTATGACACACTTACTGAGTGGCACAGGCCCGACCAGAACTGTGACCTTCAGGACAAGAGTAGTAGAACCTAAGATCTTCTTGCTAGATTATATGCTAGGAGAGACAACTGGCATACTTGACATAGAAGGACCTAAGGGAACCTCACTCCCCATCTTGTTCCAGGCCTAAGCACTCCCAAAAGATGAGCCAATGAGTACACGACCTAGGGATGGGAAGCACTGTCTTGTTTCATTGGCTATCTTCCAGTGCCAGGCATCAGCTGCCCTGTCCCTGGATAGGCAGCCATCAGTGAAGAGAGAGCAGGGAGGGAGGGCGTAGGCTATGAAGATGAACAGTACTGCCTCTTCCAAGCTCCCTGAGGCATCGGAGCACTCTGAAGCCTGAACTGGGGAACAGGAAAGGTGAAGACAGACAGGAGCCAAGATTCAAGCCCAGTGTCCCTTATGTAGGCACAGGGCTACAGGGTACAGGCAACCCAGCCCTCTCCAAAGGAACCAGAAGTACAAATTGAGCCATCTGCTTTCTATGCCAGATCCCAGCAAACCATTCAACCAAGAAGCAAGCTCCCTACTCTCTCATTTCTAGCAGGTGAGGGAGCCCAGTACTAGGGATTGAACACAGGGCCTTGTGCATGCTAGCAAACGGTTGGGGATGTCTGTAGGGTAAAAATGCCTTAGCGTAACAACTCCCCACCTATATGTCCCTTGTTTCTTCACAGGGACTTGTCATATGAAAAGCAGCACATGGGAAGGGCAATGCTTAAAGCAATGACGTTTCAGGGGTGGGATTTGCAAGGGTTGGGGGATCGGAGCCAAAGTCCCGCCTCAACCTCCCTGCCATCCTCTGAGTTAATGGGGAATGTGGAACAAGCTTAGGGGAGAGGAAAGGGTTGGTAGAAAAGGTCAAGGCTAAAAAAGCTGAGGGTCCCACAGCCCCCTTGGGTATCTGCCAATGTTGCCTCCCTCATTAGGAGTTAAGGGAGTCTATAGGGCTCCCCACCCAAGAAAAGAGATAGCAGGGGCACAGGAAGTAGCAGATGATGGAGACATCTGGACAGAGGAGTCTTTGGATCAGGTAAGCTGACAGATCAGGAAGCCATATATTGAGATGGGAGGAGTTCTGAGCTAAATATTGGCAGTCCTGGGCCCCAGGAACAGGTCTTCCCCCTGCAACCAACTATAAGCAGATCTCGTAACATCTCAGAGCCTGACTTCGTACTTCCTTAAATGAGGGAGCCCTTCCTCATTTTTACAGTCTTCTCCATTCCCAGGGTTAGGGACCTCCTGGCTGGGGCTGTGTTGGGCATAAGCACGGTTTTGTCTGTCTCTACTTCCTCCAGAGGGCAACACAGATAGTGGAAGAAGCTCTGTCCTTGGAACACCAGCCTGGGGCTGGAGCTGCATCCTCAGCCTCAGCCCATGGTCTTCCATCTTAACATCCAAAAGCCCCACACAGAAACTGGAGACAACTACCTAGTAGCCACTTTTTGTCTTCAGCTCCCACCAGACTTCCTGAGGAACCACACCTCCCCTTAGCTCACAAGGATGTAGCCTTTTCAAGTCCCTCCCCATTCTGTTCCTAAGCCCCACCAGCCAGTTTTCCCCATCCTCACTGAGCAGGATAACCCTCGCTGTGGAGGCTATTTCCTTAAGCTGTGGAGGCTATTTGCTTACTTGGGATTCTTTGGCCAGAGAAAGGAATGGCGAACTGAGCTTGGGAGAGAGACCACAAATGTGGAAGCAGGTTTGTCACAATAAAAGAGCACTTATTAACCTCTGTCTGTTTACTACACATTTGTTGAAGGCTGACTGTCCAGGTGTTGCTCAGGGTGCTGCAGGTAGACACTTCCAGGGTCATAGTTGTCTGTTTGTTTGTGGGGGCCTGGCAATTGGGCATTTTCACCACCTCATAGATGAGAACACAGCTCCTCTCTCCTACATCTGCCATTCTGATGCACCCTCTTCCCTTCAAGTCCATCCCTAAGTCAGTCAAGGCACTGAGCACTGAGGGCCTCCTGTTCAAATTTCTGGCTCAGAGACTTCTATGCAGCTGGGGCTTGCAGTCCATGGAGCCTGCCACTGTGATAGTCCAGAACAGGCCAGATTAATAGTGGCTGGGTAATAGTAGCCTGAGATGACAACAGGAAGGGAGCTGCTTGGGCAGAGGCTACTGAGGGTGACTCCTGTGCTAAATCCCAGCAGCTGAGCACCCCTCAAAGGTTACAAAACCATATTGTGCTCCATGAGGTAGATGTTGTCCCACAGAGATGAGGAAGCTGAGGCTCAGAGAGGGCAAGAGGTGGGTCCATCTGCTCACCACCTATTCCTTGTGGTCCAGGGCTTTCCTGGAGATGGCTGAGCTGGAAGTGGGGGTTGGCTCAGTCAAAATGTAGACAATTGTCCCTGGGTCTTGCTCACTGAGCTGGTGATGCAAAGTGTAATTCCTGTCACAGTGAGCACCATGCCAATGACTGCTCCTGGGATAAAGAGAAGAAATCAAGAGACTTGGGCTGGAGGCACAGCTCAGTGGTAGAACACTTACTAGGGCCCTGCGTTCAAATTCTAGTATTGCAAAACAGAAAGGAGAACAGGGGAAGGGAGGAGAGCATGGGGTGCTGAGCCCAGCCAGACCAAGCCAGGCCAGAAAGAAGGAGCTGGTACAAGACTGGTGGAAGGGCTCAGATGGGGCCTGGTCCAGATTCCCACCCCCAGCCTCTGTCTTCAGACTTCCCACGGAAGGAAACTCATATGGTACAAAGAATCGAGACAGCTGCACAGGAAAGGGCAGAATGGGAGAAGGACCCCTCCTCTCTCACCCATGGGAGATGGACTCTGGGAAAGAAGTAACCAGATATATCAAGGCCTAAGCAGCTGCTTCCCAAACTCTCAGTAACCTGACTTACGTTTTCCACCAATATCTTCTCCAAGGACCTTCCCAACAATCAGTGTGAAGACGATGGCCAGAGAATTACAGATGGGCACAGTAGGGTCAGATCTAGGAGTCAAAATGAGAAGAGTCCCTGAGATGCAAAAAATGCCTTTCTAGGCACCAAATATTTTCATTTCATTATCATCATTTCATACATTTTAAAAAGGTATCAGGAGCCAGGCACAGTGGCACACACTAGCACTTGGGAGGCAGAAGCAGGAAGACTACAAGTTCAAGGCCAGCCTGGGCTACATGGCAAGACCCTTTTTCAAACCTCTCCCTCTCCAAAAAAAGATATCATGACTCCATTTTCCAGAGGAAGTGACAGCATTAAGTCTTTTTTTTTTTTTTGCTGGCACTGGAGTTTGAACTCAGGATCTAGCACTTGCTAGGAAGGCACTCTTGCCACTTGAGCCACTCCACCAGCCTTTTTTTATGATGGGTTTTTTTCTAGATAGAGTTTCAGGAACTATTTGCCCAGGGCTGGCTTCCAACCGCCATCCTCCTAATCACTGCCTCCTGAGTAGCTAGGATAACAAGCGTGAGCCACCTGCATGATTAAAAGTTCAGTGCTTCCTCAGGATTATAGCAAGAAGACATGAAATCTGAGGTCTGGGATCAGCCTGATTTGATAGATAGTAAGAATGAGGTCTTTGCACTCAACTCCTGAGAACATTTGGGCAGAGAAGCACGCATTCAAAGCCCAAGGATGCAGTAGAATGAGTGAAATAATACCACCAAGCACAGCCGCTATTAAGCACATCCTATGTGTTAGGTGCTCTGTGCACATATTTAATTTTCACAACACTGCCAGGAGAGTATCATCAGCATTTGGCATAAAGGAAACAAAGGCTCAAAAAAGTCATATAACTAAAGGCAAACTGGGAGTAAGCTCTTACATTGAGAGGAGCCAAAGCAGCAGCATAAGTTGTCCCTGTTTCCCTTCCCCATTTGACTTCCCGGGTCCCTTGCCCTCCACAGTCCCAGAAACAAAAAGAAGAGAGCCCTGTAGAAGAAACCAGGGAGAAGAAGCAGGACACACAGGAGAAAGAAGATATTCTCTCTGAGAGAGTCGAGAAGGCAAAACTAAAGGCCAAATATCCAAGCTTGGATACAAAAGCCTGGAGGTTTTGACTTCCCCATGAAGAGGCTCCAGAAAAGGCAAAAGCACTTCAGGACTACAAACAGGTCAAAGCCAAAATGAAGAATAAGCTGCTACCAAGTGCAGGACCAGATAAGAACCTGGTGACTGGTGACCACAGGATCTGCCCAGAGAAAGTCCTAGCTCATCACCAGCAATGTTATAGGCTAATGTAGAAGATGCATCAACCTCAAGTTGTGGCTCACAAAACAAGATTTAAATTTCCATTCCTTAATTTCTAGGTCTGTGAAGGAGAAATATGACCTTAGTAATAAGCCCAAAGAAACTAGTCTTTCTGCTTGTGCCCCGCAGAAGGTAGTAACTTCACATGATGTCCCAACCAGCATTCCTGGAATCCCACCACTGAATGGAGTTTAAAGCTCCTTGCTAGCTGGACACTACTGGCTCATGCCTATAATCCTAGCTACTCAGGAGGCAGAGATCAGAAGGATCGCAGTTTGAAGCCAGCCTGGGCAAATAGTTTATAAGACCCTATCTTGAAAATACCCAGTACAAAATGCTGGTGGAGTAGCTCAAGTGATAGAGCACCTGCCTAGCAAGTGTGAGGCCCTGAGTTCAAACCCCTGTCCTGCCAAAGATAAATAAACATCACTTCCTTTATCAGATATTATAGGATGAGTTTAATAAAGATAATCTGATGATAATAAACATAATTTGATAATGGACTAAGGTATAGATCAAGTGGTAGTAGATTGCCGCTTTGCAAGCACGAAGGCCTAACTCAAACCCCAGTCTCACCAAAAAGGAAAAAAAAAATACACAGAGCTGGGCCTCAGGTAGAGGGTATCATGGCCCAGGATCTGTTTTGTAGTTTTAACGCTCCAAGGGACTGACTTCCAATAAGCAAACTAAACAAAACAGACTAATGGTGTTAACAACATGGTAATATATACTTAAAATTTGTTAAGCGGACAGGTTTCATGTTGTATTCTTATCACATGAAAAAACAAAAACAAAAACACTGGGGTTGAAGCTCAGTGGTAAGAGTTGCTGTGGGTTCAATCCCCACCAACATATATACACAAAGTGAGGCTTAGTAGTGTACAACTGTAATCCTAGCAACTTGGTTGCTGAGGCAGGAGGATCTCAAATTCAAAATCAGCCTGGGTTACATCATGAAACCCTGTCACTAAATAAGTAAATAGCCAGGCACTGGTGGTTCACTCCTATAATCCTAGCTTCTCAAGAGGCAGAAATGACAAGGACAATGGTTCAAAGTCAGCCCTGGGCAAACAGTTCCCAAGACCCTATCTCAAAAAAATCCATCACAGAAAAGGGTTGGTGGAATGGCTCAAGTGGTAAGAAGGCATGAGTAAGTAAGCATGAGTCCCTGAGTTCAAGCCCCTGTCCTGCCAAAAATAAATAAATATCACTTCCTATAGGATGAACTTTGATAATAAACATAATCTCTGACTGAAGTAGGTCATAAATGTTTAATAAATAATGACTACTGTTTTGACTGCTAGAAAAGATGGATATTGCCAGGCATGGAGGCTCATACCTATAATCTAAGCACTTGGGGGCTGAAGCAGGAAGATCCTGAGTTCCAGGTCAGCCTGGGCGACACAGTGAAACCCAGTCTCAAAACCAAAAGAAAAAAAAAAGACCAAAACCAAAGCCAGCACTTGACCCAGCATAATTGAACTTTCCTTCCTCCTCTGCAGCTGCACAAGACTGCCAGGCCCCAGATCAACTCTGTGCCTGGCCATGTATTCATCACCAGCCCACTGTGCCCCTGCAAGCAGAGAATAGGTTATAAATAGGGAACCAGAGCTAGGTGTTCTCCCTCACTAAAGGCAACAAGCTGCCTCCCCACAATGACGTTCCCAGTGGCCTCCACCACTAAGCAGAACAGCTTCAGGCCAGAGACCCACCTGTGGATGCCAAGATGAGGTAGTAGAGAAGGGAGCCACACTGGTTGAGGAGAAAGGGCATCAGGTACTGGAAACAGGAGAAATCTGAAGTCAGTGTGATTGCTTGACCAAGCAGCACTACCTTTCTTAAGGTTCTACATATGCCTTTCCTTGGAGGCAAAGATAGTTCTAAATGCCCAGGCCTGGAGCACTAAGCACTGTGAGGCAGAGAGAAACAGGCTGAATGAAAACCTTTATCCTGTGCCCCCTCTTCCTCAGCTCGGCTAGTTCCCATCCTCCCTACATCCTGCAAGGCCTTGAGTACCATTGTCGCCCCCTCTGAACCCTACTCCAAGTGCCCCAGCGCGAGCCTCCCTCCTCTGAACTCATTTTATCTGTACTGCTCTCCTTGCCCTTAACCCTGAGAAGCGCTGTGTCCAAGTCCTGTCTTTCCCAGTAGCCTCAACTAGCAGACTCAGGGTAGAGGCTGTTCTCTATAAACCTCCTTGTCTCCCAGCCACTCTTCCCAGAGCAAGCTGAGCCCAAACCCTCCCTGTGGACAGGCTGACAATATTTACCTTGTAAAAATTGGTGAAATCACAACAATAAAATATTAATAGCAGGCATAAATTGAGCACTTATGATGTTCTAGGCCCAATGCTAAGTGCTTTATGTGTCCCACCTCACTTAATTCTCACAACTGTCCTATAAAATGGTTATCATTATAATCCCCATTTCACTTATGATGAAACAAGACACTCATGGAAGACAAATGACTCCTCTAAGACCTTCTAGTAAAAGGTGGGGCTGGGATTTTGGCCCAAACATGTTTGACTATGAGACCAACTTCTTGGGCTACTCCTCCGAGAGAGGGGCGATTCGCAGACGCACCTCAGTATTCAAGAAAAGGGTCTTCACCTCCTGCAGCAACTCGGGCCAGGACCGCTCATGAATCTGCTGCAGGCCGGCGGAGGCCCGCTTCAGCAGCGGCTGCGTGCCACCCCACAGAGCGGCCACCAGCACCAGCGACAGCACTTGCCCTGAATGAGAACGGAGATTCGAATCACCCCAAGGCGCAGCCCCAAACCCGCCTGCGGGGCAGCTAGCCTCCCGCACTTTCGTCTCTCAACGACTCTGGCTGTGCTGGGCGGGGAGGACAAGCCCCGGGGGACGGAGAAGGTGAGTCCGGGAGCCCCGAGTCTGTGGTTGGAGGAGGAGGGGTGCAAGACGAGGAAACGATCTCCCGTGGGGGTCCGCAAGTCCGAGGGGGGCGGGGCAGGCTACCCACCCAGAGATGCCGCCATGGCAACGCCGCTCCTTTCTACTTCCGGGAACCAGAGGCGGAGACCCCAAATCCGGAAGTGGCTCTAAGGCCTCTTCCGGCTCTACTCACATTGTCGCTCTCTTCGCGTCACCATCGGGATGGTGAGTTCCAGTGTTGAGGGTATTGTGGTAGAGGTCCCGAATCCCGGCAGGGGCCCGATTCCGGGCACTGACTGTCCTTGTCCTGTCCCCACAGAAGCCGATCCTGCTGCAGGGCCATGAGCGATCCATCACGCAGATTAAATATAACCGCGAGGGAGACCTCCTCTTCACCGTAGCCAAAGACCCTGTGAGCGTCGGCGTGAGGGCGGGCGGGACAGGCGGAGGGGGCCGGGAGGGGCGAGTTCATTCTGCCCGGACGGCGGGTGAGCGCGCCTGTTTTACTGCCAGAGGGGAACCTAAAAACTCCCCAGTATGAAAAGGAGGGAGAGATCACCTCGCGGGTAGGTCGGCGAGAGCATTCTAGCAGACAAGGTGGGAAAGAACATGGTTGCTAGGAGGGAGTAGCCGGGGACAAGAAAAGCAAGATACCATTGTGGAATGGGACTGGAGTGTGGGGGGTCATCTCGTTCAGGTGGCTGATTCCTGGGAAGAGCTAAACTCTGCTACCAGGATAGGAGAACAGACCACCTCTAGGAGGGTAGAGGTGACCCATGGGCGACAAGCTGTGTCATTACAACACAGGAGGGTCTGGGGTTATAGCTCAATGATAGAGTGGTGCTTAGTATGCAATGGGCCCTGGGTTTGATACCCAGCCCAGAAAGACAGAAGACACAAGGGACTTAATGAGGGTGCCCTTCGTTTCAGTCCAGTCAGCCCAGTCTTACTACATGATCTGCAAGCCCTCACAGTACTGCCTTTGGGGACACCTACTTATGGAATCAGTTAACTAATGGTTAACAGTGGATACTGGCAAGTTAAACAGACATGATTTAAATCCTAATTCCTGCATCTAGGAGCACTGTGACTTTGGGCATGACAAGTTCCTTAGACATTCTTTCGTTGGAGCCTCACAGCTACACTTTGAAGTCTCTTAAGTGCTAGGATTACAGGCTTGTGCCTTCACATCCTCTCGTCTTAGTCATTTTAAAGATGGGAAAGTTGAAGTTGAGAGCGGAGGAGCACTCTATAGTGAGATAGTGACAGAGCAGTCACTGAAACCCAGACTTCCCTATGGTCAACTGCTTCTGTTTGGATAGGACACCAAGGTTACTATTTTTCTGGACTGGAGCCCAACTTGACCTTTTCTTAGAGATTCTGAGTCCAGGAGAGGGTGGGACTGGCAAATGCTCTCCTTACAAGCATTCCCCTGCTGCTTTCCTTCAGGAAGGGAGGAGGATCCAGGAGTTGATCTTTTTATCAGCTCTCTTTACCAAGAATTGAGCAGGAGAGAACAGAATTAGCCTGGCTAGAGGATTTGGAGGGCTTTTAGGGCAAAATAGGAGGCCACTGGTTTTCTTGGGATGTGACTCATTCTGTCCTTTGACTCCTCCAGATTGTCAATGTATGGTATATTCCGTGAATGGGGAGAGGCTGGGAACATACATGGGCCATACTGGAGCTGTGTGGTGTGTGGATGCTGACTGTATCCTTTTTGCACTGAGTTTGGACTCCTAGTCTACCAGCAATGGAGACACTGACTAGGATGCTGTGGGTCTAGAGAATAAAACTTCCTACTCCCAATCTCTTCACTGGTTGAGGAGGCATTCAGGGCAAGTTCAAGTTCTGGATGAAGAACTTAGAATGCTCTGAGGTAAGAGAGAAGAAAGGATCTTTGGGGATAAACTGGGAGTTGATTCCATTGGCCTTCCAAGAGGGAAGTCATGTTTCTTAACATCCTCTTCAGGGGACACCAAACATGTCCTCACTGGCTCAGCTGACAATAGCTGTCGTCTCTGGGACTGTGAAACAGGTAAGCCTAGGTCATTCACTTTTTTAACAAAAATTGACCTACCTACAGTGTACCTGTCTAAACAAACAGGTTTTGGGGAGATAGAGATAAATTCAAAGACGGCTCCCAGTCTAGAGAATAAGAGACAATAAGATAATAAGGTAGAAGTGTTATAGTAATTTAGTAAGTACAGAGTTTTGTGGAAGGCCAGAGGGGGCAACTGTTTAGAGAGGGAATGGAAGCAGCCTGGGAAGTTTCCCAAGGTGTAAGTGTCATATGAGCTGGGGCTTAAAGGAAATGAAAGAAGTCATCACAGAGTATCATATCCAAGTCACTGAATCTGGTTGGAGGTCCTGCTTCTTGGGAGATAGATAAAGCTGGAATGGGGAGAGAAGCAGGCTACACCAGAACAGGCCTTGAAGCCAAATTCAGGGACTGGCTTTGTTCTATAGGGCTTGGCATGCTGGGGAGGTCCCTGAGTGGGAACAGTGGTGGTCTGGTTAATTTTAACAAGGTCTAATAGGCAGTAGAGAGAGCTAATGATGAAGACAGGAGAGTATTAAGCTACTCTGTTCAGTAAATACTTGTCCACTTATAGAATGGCCACCGGGGACTTGTAAAAATAAACCATGTCCTTACTGGGGAGGAATGAAATAGAGGGGGAAATAGACTGCAGAGTGGTGAGCTGTAGTCACCTGAGCAGGAGACAGAGTGAGATGTGATGATAGACAGGCGTAGGGTGTCCTCCCTGTGTTAACAATGGACAAGGGATAACCCAGACTCTGCCTGTCTCCAGGGAAGCAGCTGGCCCTACTCAAGACCAACTCAGCTGTCCGGACCTGTGGATTTGACTTTGGGGGCAACATCATCATGTTCTCCACAGACAAGCAGATGGGCTACCAGTGCTTTGTGAGCTTCTTTGATCTACGGGATCCAAGCCAGATCGGTAAGGGCCAGGCCAGGGTTGGGGTTGAGGTGAAGGATGCAGCTGTAGAGCTTGGGGCCTAACATCTGCTGCTCCCACAGACAGCAACGAGCCCTACATGAAGATCCCGTGCAATGACTCCAAGATCACCAGTGCCGTCTGGGGACCTTTAGGGGAGTGCATCATTGCAGGCCATGAGAGTGGAGAGCTCAACCAGTATAGTGCCAAGGTAAGGGGTCCAGTGGAGCCTGAGCCCACTATAGTAATTCCTTAGAAAAGGCAGGAGAATGTAGTGGTTAAGAGCAAGGGCTAGATTCAGATAGAGATTGCACCACTCTACCTGTGTGGTCTTGGGCAAGTTATATATAACTTCCCTGAGCCTGTTCATTTCAAGGATCAAATGAGAAACAGGTGTTGAAAAACTTGTCACAAAGAACTTGTGATCACAAGTAAGCATTTTCCTGCCATCACAAGGACCCAGACCCTATACTGGATTCTTAGGACAAAGAAGTAAATCAGACATGGTCCCTGCCTGTGAGAAACACAAGCTTGCAAACAACTAGCACACAAGTCAGATTGTGAATTAATTGTGCCACCATAGAGGTTTCAACCAGCTCTGTCACAGAGTGACACCAAGTGATGAAGAATAAATAGGATGAGGGTGTGACTCAAGTGGTAGAGTGCTTGCCTGGCATGCTTAAGATCCTGGGTTCAATCCCCATTACCACCAAAAAAAAGAAGAAGAAATGGAGCTTCCAGCAGGAAGAATAGAATATTCCACAGATAAAAGGAACAGCCAAAGCAAAGGCTCAGAGTTAAATTTGTGGATTTTTCAGGAATCATTGGAATGTGGTATTGCTGAAGAAAGGGACTATAGAGCCCATAAGTCCTTAAATGTCAGAAGGTAAGAGCTGATTTTCCTCCAGCAGTAGGGAATCTTTTTTTGACAGTAGTACTGGAGGTTGCACTCAGGAGCTTGTGCTTACTAGGCAGGTGCTCTATCACTTTAGCCACACTCCCAGCCTGAAGTAGGCAATCTTTAAAGGACTATTAATCAGATCTCCATTTAGAAGGTTTCTGCAGGCTACAGCTTGGAGGACAGACCTAACTAGCCAATAGGCATGGGAACGTAGAGTACTAGAGAAAGTCAGGAGATAATTAAGAGTTGGGTATATGGTGGTACGTAATTGTAATCCAGCTACTTGGGAGCCGTGGCGGGAGGATTACTTGAGCTCAGGAACTTTAGGCCAGCCTAAGCAACATAGTAAGACCCCATGTCCAAAGAAAGAAAGAAAGAATGTGGGAGGCATGAGGGAGGGAAGGAGGAAGAGATATTTAGGGGTGACTGATCAGATGAGGGATGATGAAAGGATGAAGTACAAGCTGTCTCAGGACTGGTGTTGGGAAAGTCTCACTTTTCCTCCTTCCTCAGTCTGGAGAGGTATTGGTGAATGTTAAGGAGCACTCCCCGGCAGATCAATGACATCCAGTTATCCAGGGACATGACCATGTTTGTCACTGCATCCAAGGACAACACAGCCAAGGTGAGCCTGGGCAAGGGGTCTGGCAGGGCTGTACCTATCCTCATGCTGCACATACTCAATCTACCTAACTCGCCCAAAGAAGGTGCCTGTTAACAGGTTTCTCTCATGCCTTCTTTCTCCAGCTCTTTGACTCCACAACCCTTGAACATCAGAAGACTTTCCGTACAGAACGTCCTGTCAACTCAGCTGCCCTCTCTCCCAACTATGACCATGTAAGGGAATCCCACTCAGGCTTCCTGCTGAGGCTTCAGACGAGTTCTTTGGAATCTTAGATATATTGGGTCTAGCAAATTAAGCTATGAATAAGGGGGACCAACTCAGGCGATCCCCTCTATGCCTACCACCGCCGCCCTCCATGACACAGGCCCCCACCGACCTCAACTATATCCCCAGTCCGCCGTCACCCATCTCCATTCCCGGTACCGAACAGATAACCCCATCACCCGCAACCGAGCAAATCCCATACTGAACCACGTGCCGCCTCAATCCAACCGCATTTCCTCCCTCTTCCTCTCCGCTATCCCACGTTACATCGGAGTGTGGGTGTCAGGCAGAGAAGAGATTCCCCAGAGTAGTGACAGGATGAATGATTGGGTAGCCTTGGGAAACTGGGCAGGAGGTAGCTGAAATGTCTGTTCATCCCTGCCCTTGTCTCCTCCCATGTGTTATGGGAGATACTAGAGTGTATAGGGCAGGAAAAAAAACAAGAAAATAGACCTGGCTTCTGTGTGGGCTCATCTGCACTTTCTTCTTCTCCTTTAGGTGGTGTTGGTGGTGGTCAAAGCTATGGATGTTAACCACAACCTCCACCAGATTGGCAAGTTTGAGGCCAGGTAAGGGGGAAGGGAGTTCTTCCAAACTGAAACTACATTGGATGTCTTTTAATAACACAAACCATATTGGACACTAGGAAGTACAGGTAGTGTGACAAGTATATAACATTGCAGTTAAGATCTTGAAACTCTGAGGCCCTTGACATCTTGTATTTTCTATGCATAAACTTCTCAGTTGTATAATGGGACAGTGATAATATACTTACCTTGTAAAATTGTGAGATTAAATAAATGAGGTTAATTTTGTGGGCACAGTGGATCACCCCCGGGGAGCCTAGTTATCTAGGAGATGTGCACAGTTTAAGGCCAGCCCAGGCAAAAAGTTCACGAGATCCCTCAACCAATAAAAGCTGCCATGGTGGTTCACACTTGTCATCTCAGCTACCACAGAAAGTGTAAATGAAAGGATTGCAACTCAGGCCAGCGTAAGCACAAAAATAAACCCTGTCCTTAAAAATAACCAAAGCAAAAAGGGCTGGAGAGCATGTTTCAAGTGATAGAAATAAGTTCAAACACAGAACCGCCAAAATTGTGTAAGCGTGTGTTGGTGGTGTGGTGTGTGTGTGTGTGTGTGTGTCAGAGAGAGAGAGAGAGAAGAGGGAAGGGATAAGGGAAGGAGGAAGAGCTATTTAGGGATAATTAATGGATGAATTAATATTCGTTAAGTTCTTAAGAGTACTGCAAATAT